AAATGTCCAATACCGAGACGCAGCAGCCAATAGAGTCCACGTTATAGACGAAGGGTAGAAAAATCTGACGTAACGAACTAAATCATAACCCAGATGAACTACCAATCTAACATTTAAGTTAAAAAGTACTTGATGATTGAATCCGTTTAGCTAATACGTTAAAATATAACCAAAGCCGTTAACAGAGTAAAAATAGTTAGAAGTAAGTATTTATCAGTATATTTGTTTACCCTATTGCAGAATGTCCTTAACCCGATACTGAATAACTTTTGGTCTTGCCTAAGTTTCAGATTGACACTGAAGTTCTAGTCATCTTAATCGACAATCTGTTATTTTGATATAATTTTGGTATGATTTGTCACCCCTAAGATATTCGTTTTTCACGTTATAATGTTTTGTTAATACAGTTATTTACCTAACATAAATGAGTGGAGCAATATCTTTTTGTTGTTTTTTTAACTGTCAAAATTGAAGGCCACAAATATAATGGTTTTATCTAAATAAATGATTTTTCATTTTTATATGTATTTTAAATATCTGTTTTATGGAAAGTATTAATGTCATATATCATTAATTTACAAATTAGATATACCTATGTTCGTGATCCATTGTCAGGAGCTCAAGGTAACGAAACAAATTATTTAAATAAAGTAAAATATACATGCTGTGTTGATTTGTTAAACATTCCAATTTATTAGCTATAATTACACAATTATCATCAAGTATTTTCAACGCATCAACGAACAGTACTTTTTAGTTTAACAATAAACATTGAATGTGTATAATCATTAGAGGATATCAATTAGGCACGGTATGGTTATATACAGCAGACAAAAGACACGTTAACGATAACATCTGCGCTAAATTCCATATTCTGGCGCTTTAGTAGAAAATGCTTATTCACTTATCACATAACTGATTTTCTGTCAGGCTGTAAGCATAAAATTGAAAGGAGATATAACAGAATTAGTACACCTGGATAAATCAATAACTAATCAATAAAGAATGGATGTGTGCATCCCATAAATGTGTGATATTTAAGAGACCTAACTAAAAAAGTACTATTTCGATATGTAGAGCTTACAGTCATATTATGTAATTTCTTCTAGATTAGAACACATAATTAATAAAATAAACTAAATAAGTAAAAGGTATGGTTTTCAAAACAATTTTCCAGCTCGACTTTTAGTCATTATGATCATTTTGATTTCGGTTTGGGTAAAATCTAAACCTTGCTTCCTGCTTTATTATTTTCCCATCAATTTTGATTTTACATCGTAGTGGATATTTAGATTAGGTTTTTTCTTGTAATATTATCATATTGTATTTCTTCATCAGAGGGACTTCAAAGATCATAATTTTGTATTACAAAAGAATTTAAACATGTTAAATGTTATGTCGAAATGATGAAATTTTTAAAGATATAAAATGTTTTGAATAATACGTCCAATGCAGCTGCTAAATGAGCAGCTTATGATTGCAATTAAAACAATATATTTAACTGGGTCTTTTCTTTGTGTTCCGTGCTTATTTTCAAGCATTGCCTATCTCTCAGCTTCTTGGTCGGCAGCTAGATAAAACAATTCCTTGACCTGTCGACCTCTCCACTGTCTAATGTCATTCAGCAGTACAGTTTTTTTCTTCCGACACAGCATTTTCGGTTTTGCCATGAATAATCAACCGGAGTAAGAGATATTTAGGTCTTCTCATTATATGACCAAAGTATTGGACCTTTCTCATTTTGATCAATTCTTGCTCTTTGTGCATGGTCTTTAGCACACGTTCGTTTAGCACACGTCTTCAGCACACGTTAGTTGGATATGTGTGCTATTTACGGGATGCCGAGCATGCGACGGTAACACCACAACTCGAATGCTTTTAATTTGTTAAGATTTTTTATTTTTGTTGTCCAGAAAATCATCCACATCCATAAAACATTTCACATCCATAAAACAAAGCGGACCAGACATAGCGCTTTAATACTCTTAGAAAAGCACAATAAAGAACGCCAGGTACTAAAGCTTTTTTATACAAGTTTTTTCTGGCCGAAATTTCCTCGTCACTTTCAACCCTGTAGTCAATTCAGCTACCCAGATATCTAAAGTGTTCTCCCGTTTCTAGGATTTTGTTATCAAATTCGAATAGTCGCTAAACTGTCTGGCATTTCTTTTTTTTTTGGGAATAGTTATGAATATTGATTCTAATCAGTTCTCTGGTAATATTCCGCTGTTGTATATCTTGTCAAAGAAGTAGGTGATAATCGTAAGACTCTCATTATCTAATAGTTGTAACAATTCTGTAGGTATTTCCATGTGACCAGAAGCATTGCTTCGTTTCCCTTGGTCGATGGCTTTCTGAACTTCTGAGATTATAATCGGTTGGCCTGTACCTCGGTTAGATATTATTTCTTGGTAGATTCTTTGTTAATCTTCAAAATAATTCTATTATGTAATTTTGCCATTGTAAACTCTGGTTTTGCCTGCTAATTCTTTTAGTTTTTTATGAAAATGGAAGGTGCCGTGTGTTGCTCCAGTTTTTCAACTTCTAAACAGGATTGCAGCCATATCGGTCTGTTGCTACTTTAATAGGTTTTTTAATTTTTTATGTATTTTATTGTCTTTTTTCTGTTTATAGATTTGTACTACCTCCGATGTCGATGAAGAATATGATTTTATAAAACTGAAAGATCCCAATGTTCGACTGAAGCTGAGTGGAAACCTCAATACAAGGATGCTAACATGCAAAAATGCAGAAACTATAGAGGAAAGTCTGACCATCATACAAGAAACAGTGAGAGAAATAAAAGAACAACACCTGAAGAAAGACATAGAGAAACGCAAATCGTTGATGACCGATGAAATACTTGAGCTTATGGATCAGAGGAAAAAGAACAAACAAAATCTCGAAGAATATAAGAGAATACATATCATCGTCAGAAGAAAAATAAGAGAAGCCAAAGAGAAACAAAAGACAGAACAATGTCAAGAAATAGAAGAGTATCAGAGTCGATATGATAACTTCAATGTTCATCGAAAGGTGAAGGAAATAACTGGAAAGTTTCGAAAACACAACAGCGGAAAATAACAGATAATGAAGGCAATCTTGCCGTAACTAAAGAAGATAAAAAAAAGTATGGAAAGAATACTTGCGGAAACTTTTCCATGACCTTAGAACATACAAGAACCCACCGTTGAAGAAAATTCAGGTCCCGAAATTCTACCAGAAGAAATAACGGCAGCTGTCAGACAAATAAAGGAGGCAAAGACACCGGGACTTGATGAAATTCCTGCAGAACTGCTGAAGTTATTAGATACAGAATAAATAAAAATAATAACTGATATATTTAATGAAATATACAAGTCAGGAAAAATACCAGTAGAGTGGCTAAAATCGGAGTTAGTACCATTGTCCAAAAAAACAGGAGCAAAAGTTTGTGAAGATTATAGAACAATAAGCCTAATGAGCCATCTGCTGAAGCTGTTTTTAAAGGTCATCCACAAAAGAATTTACCGGAAATGCGAGGAACAAATTGCGTCCAATCAGTTTGGATTTGGAACGCCGTTGGTACGAGGGAAGCTTTATTTAGCGTGCAGATCTTGTTTAAGAAATGTCGAGATGTCAGCTGTAATGTTTGTGCATGCCTGATTGACTACAAGAAGGCTTTCGATAGAGTCAGGCATGAACAAATGATGGAAGTGCTGAAGAGAACAGGGATTGATGGAAGATACTTATGTAGAACATATGGACTTTATATAAACACCAGCAAAACCAAGCTAATGATCATCAGCAAACATAACTGGAGCAAATCTGTATGTGAACCAAATGAGAATTGAACGTGTCTCACAATATAATTACTTGGGAACTATAATCAATAGTTCGTGGGATCAATACCCAAGAGTTTCGTGTACTCAGTGCTTCTGTATGAAGTAGAAACGTGGACATTGAAGGCGGAAACTATATCAAAACTTCAGGCTTTTGAATTATGGTTATACAGAAGAATCCTGAAGATACCATGGACAGACAAAGTCACCAATGACGAATTACTGCGGAGGATGAACACAAGCGCGGATTTGGTCAACATTGTGAAGAGCCGTAAGCTGGAGTACTTGGGACATATAATGAGAAATCAAGGCAGATACGAGCTACTCCAATGCATTTTCGCAGGGTAAAATTGAAGAAAAAAGAGCCCCAGGACGAAGAAGAATATCCTGGCTTGCTAACCTGAGAGCATGGTATAGAAAGACCTCAACACAGCTATTTCGTATAGCAACCAATAAAATCATTATAGCCAGAGTGATCGCCAACGTTCGGAACGGACAGGCACCCTAAGAAGAAGAACTGTCTCCGAAAGTCCATTAAAACTAATATGTCTTGTGTGATTCAGGCATTTTTAACTGTTCGATCTTCGAAACCTTATTAAAAGTACATGGGTCTTGGAATGCATTAAACGATTGGGTAAATTTCACTAAATAAATGTACATAATAGCATCACTTAAAAGACAATAGTTTTAAAGGTATCTAAATTAACCTAATGTTAACGCGCCTTCTGTAAACAGGTCTACCTCTTCTTTTTAAAATTCGTAGTTTTCTTCTCAGAAGAGCATTCGAAAATGCTCTGTATACACATGAAGGTAAAAATAGATAGATGTATGTATATGATTTTCTGAACTTTCTTTGTAAAATAATGTTGAGTTCCCGCAAAACATCAAACGAACAAAAATTAGGTAAATTACTATTATAACTGGGAATAAGCCACAATTAAAGATAAAAATACGTTTATTGACGTTTCAATTTCCAATTCGGAAATCGTTCTCAAAATACATTTTGAGAACGATTTCCGAATTGGAAATTGAAACGTCAATAAACGTATTTTTATCTTTAATTGTGGCTTATTCCCAGTTATAAATAGTAATTAATTTACAATGCCACAAGAAAAATAGCTTCAGAACAATAAAAATTAGGTAAGTATATCAAATATTTTCTTATTAGTATATAATTACTTAAAATCTAAATACTAAAAATTTCCCTACCTTTCGATGCTCTCCACAGAATTTAGTAACCATCTCAGAAAGCTGCTGCGCTCGTGGAGTGTACAAGTTCAGCTTACCCTGTGGCACGTCTAGAATTATGTTCGTTGGTCGAGGAGCGGTACATGTAGAGATTTCCGATAGCGGATATGATTTCAATACTTGGAGGGAGTTTTGTTCTCGCTTGGCCAAATGAATACCCCAATGGGATACGGCTACAAACTGGATATCCGATAGCTGTAACAAAAAAAAAACCGTAATTGGTATCAAATTATAATAAGAAATCCTAAGAAGACAGTAAACATTTTAAAAGTGTGTTGTTGATATTTTATTGATAATGTTGTTACTGTTTCGAAACTAAATGAATAACATTATTTAAACCTTTACTAATAACTATGCCAACTTAATCGCTATACGACTATCTTACGGTTTTGAATATGCTGACCCAGAGATGCATGGATATGAATCAGGACATATACTTATGTTTTGCAGATTTTGAAAAGGTATTTGATAAGGTTCAACATAAAACTTTGTAGATATATTAAAAAGCAAAAATATTCACAGGCAGGATATGCAAATTTTATCTAATCTATATTGGAATCAAACTGCCAAGGTAACAGTTGACAACCTGAATACCCGAGATATCAAAATACAGAGAGGAGTCCGCTAGGGTTACATGCTGTTCCCACTACTCTTTAATCTCTACAGTGAAGTGATATTTAAAGAAGTGTTCTCATATTCAATAGAAGGTTTATCTAGCAATGGAGAAGTTTAGAATAACTTGCGTTTTCCAAACGATACAGTAACAATGACGGATAACGACCATGGTTTAAAGAACGTAATGTGGTTGTAAACTGATTTTGTTTACAACCCTGTAATTTTCAAAATAGTATATTTCCGCTTGTTTATTAACTTTACTCCACCCAGTATGCCAAGACGCCTTATTCATTTCAATACCTCACCAATAATCTCTAACGGTACTCGGACCCTGTGAACAATTACCTAGTACCCGATATCGGCGACTGATGGTCGAAGAAAGATAAAGCCCGTCTCTCTGTTAGTAACCCCCGAGGAAGAAGCATGGTGCTTTAATACTCAAATTTGTGATTTTGTTAGTTGCGATTCTCAGAGCGTGTGTCTCTCTCTCAAGTGTTTAGCAATAAGAAAAGTTGTCTCCGCGATTGTGAAACAAACAACTTTGTGTAACCACGTATATTGTATATTGTACCCGTTGTATATTGTGTTTGTGTTAAGTATAATACGTAGAGAAATAAATGTTAGTTACAAGTTACTTGTATTCTTTACGTACAATAGACAATCAAAATAATACAGTCCACTCAAAAACCCTCAGAGAATACCGGCGGTATAAGTTCGTAGCAGATTAAAAGCACGTGGAATCACAAATAATTCCACCCCAAACGCCGGCATTTTCTCCATAATGCAACGACTTAAATGAATAATATCATAAATACAGATTAAGGATACATTGAAAGAAAAACTAAATTCATGATTATGACTAAACAAGCAGATACAAGCATCCAACCGATTGTTGAGGATACTGTAATTGACAATGTGAATACCTACAAATACTTGGGAACATGGATAACATCAAATGTAGATTAAACCAAAGAAATTAAGACACGCATTAAAATAGCACGTGCATAATTCGTTAAACTTTAAAAGTTTCTTTCTTGACAGGATATAAGGTTAGGACTACGCCTTAGAATGCTTCGGTGTTACATTACTCTTCCTTATGGCTTGGAAGCATTGACATTAAAACAAGTACATCTGAATAAATTAACCTCCTTTGAATTTGGTTTTACAGTCGAATCCTACGAATATCATGGACTCTACGAATGTCAAACTCTTCAGGTTAGAGTTAAATTTGTTGAGGAGGTACGTAAAGCAAAACAGTCCGAAAAACCGCTGGAGTTGTGGTGTTCTTCTATGAAGGTATTGACTATCAAAAGAAGAAAACTTAAGTACTTAGTGTATGTTAAGAAAGGGCAAAGATACTCATTTTTGCAGTTTATTATGCAAGGCAAAATTCGAAGAATGTGGGAAGACAAAGAATATTGTGGCTTAAAAACTTGAGGGAAACGGTTTGAATGCAGAAGTGCAGAACGATTTAGAGCAGCAGTCAACATGTCCGCATATCCATGATCATTTCTAACCTTCGATAGAAGATGGAACTTTAAAGAAGAAGACTATCTTTAAAAAAACAACAAAACCTATATCTTTTTCATCTTCTTCTATCTTCTTATTAGGCAATTCTGCATGTTTCTGTTTTCTTAGATTGTGCCTGTATACTATATTTTCTATCGACACTGAGTATTCGCAACTCAGCAAAATAGTTTTGCGGCACAGTGGCTTCCTGTTTGTTTAAGTATTTATTAGACAAAAAGATTTCTTCATTTCAATTCCCTTATTCTAGGTTCTGATTTTGGTTTTTTCAGCCCTCGTTGGATGTAACTTGGCTGTAACCTGGCCCTGGACCCAGTAGTAGTATTCTAATATTTATATATTTTTATATCGTAAATTTGAGGAGTGGATATTTCATAATATCTTTAAGACAAGGTTTACATACAATTAACGTATTTGCTTTTTGAAATATCAGTTTGGTTTTTCTTTGAAATGAAAGAAACACATCTGTTGTTTATGGGTCCATCTGTACCCAGAAGTGTTTCCAAATTACGTAATGTTTATTTTGTTTATTTTTCTGAGAAAGTTGATTAGATTTTATGAGTTCTATTTGCGGAAGCGTTTGTCGAGTATCCTCAGTATTGTACCAGTCTTGATCGCTTGAAGTTAAGAATTGAAAGTGTGGTGTACAACCATTTGTGAAAAACACAATAATAAGCGCTTGCTGAAAAATAGTCTCCAGGAGAGGACTCACGAAAGAGGAATTACGAAAAATCCTTGAAGAAGACTCAGAAAATGAAGATGAATCTACCAATTTAGAAACCGTCACTAGTGATGAAAAGTTAGTAGATGAAGAATTTTCTGAAGAAGATCATGTATCTACGGTTGATGATGACAAAGATGAAAGCGAAAATTCGGAAAATGAAATAGAAGTTCCTAAACAAGAAGATTTACAATATACTGCTCGCGATGGGACAGTTTGGAACAAATATCCACCACCTCAGTCACGTGTAAGGTGAGTGGTGGCTCAAGTTCTACACATATTTTCTTACTAAATTTGTAGGTTTTACTAATTGCGTTTGTATATTGTTTAGATCCATCAATATACTAAATCCTGTGCCAGGTCCCACCAGATATGCCACTCAACGAATTACCGATAAACCTATATCTTCAATGAGATTGTTTTTCACTGATGAAATGATCAATTTACTCATAGTGGAAACTAACAGAGAACGCGGTTGCATATGTAATGAAAAAATGTTAACTCTAAAAGAAATATCACTGAAAGAGTTAGAAGTTGTTAGAGGTAAATACTTTAATTACAGTTATAAAATAAATTAACTTAAAATTTTGCATTTTTGTTCAAGGTCTACTTCTTCTGGTTGGTGTTCATAAAGGTGCCGGAGAATCTCTGCAGGAACTTTGGAGTAATTCTGATGGTAGGTCCATTTTTAGAGCTACTATGTCTCTGAAACGATTTTGTAACATCAGCCGCTTTTTGAGATTTGCTTATAAAGAGGATGTGACCTATTCGACGGAGTCACGACAAGTTAGCTCCAAATTAGAAGTTTTCTTTATTTATTTGTAGCACAACTTCCCAAAATGTTTGTTTCATATGAAAGCCTCACTGTCGATGAATAACTTGTACCATTCAGAGGTAAGTGTCCCTTGAGACAGTATATTCCAATAAAACCACGTGGGAAATATGGAATTAAATTATGGCTTTTTTCTGATGTCAAAACTGCGTATGTGTATTGTGCAGAAACTTATACAGGAAAACATAAAATCAGCCCGGTGACGTATATCTGGACAAAAATGTGGTTTTACGACTTATAAAAGATGTTCAGAAGTCTGGGCGAAACATAACCACGGATAATTTTTTTACTGACTACCATTTAGCGACTGAATTATTAAAACGTAAACTAACACTAATTGGAACATTATGAAAGAACAAAACTTTTATTCCAGTTGAATTACTGCTAAATAAAAGTAAAGAAGCCCTATCATCAATTTTTGGGTTTCAGAAGAATATGACTTTTATATAGTCCTAAAAAGGGCAAATCTGTTATTCTTTTGTCCTCGATGCATTTAGATGACCAAGTGTCATTACAAGAACATAAGATACCAGATATTATTTTAGAATACAATACAACTAAAGAAGGTCTAGATACAACAGATAAATTAGCGTAAGCTTATACCTGCAAAAGAGGAACTAGAAGGTGGCCACTTTGCTTATTTTATAATATTTTAGATTTGGCGGTAATTAACGCCTATGTGTTATATATGCATGTAAATGCTCAATATAATAGTAACAAATTACATAAAAGAAGGCTTTTATAAAAGAATTGGCATATAATTTAACAAAAAATGCCGAACTACCCGAATGACAACTAATGATCCACAAAAAATCCAAATAAATTTACATGCAGTAGCTGGAACAAGTGGAAATGCAAATGAAAGTTTAAAACGTGGAAGGTGTAAAGACTATTAATACGAAAAACACAGAAAATCTCGTACCAGATGTCAAGCATGTAAGAGGTTTATTTGTCTGATCATTCAAATATCTTTTGTAAAAGTTGCATAGATTAAATGTATAATTTTATTGAATATAAAGTTTTATTATATTTTTTATTACAAAAAAATGCCTTTAGTTTTGATACATCGATAACATAAAACTACGAAAGCTTCTACGAATTAATGAAAAGAAATTGGAATTTAATTCACAACAATTATGAGTTTTATCCACTCGGTCCATCGTACCCATAGACAAAGAATGTAACATTTACTTCGGGAGAGTAAGAAGGTTAAGCAGGTGGCTAGCTTTCCTTACGAACATTCCTCTTTTATTGTATCACTGTTTAATATATTGTATCGTATTACTATATCATGGCACCTACGAGTTAGATAGTAACTCGAAGGATCTTATTTATTAGAGTCTATAAAACGCAGAGGTACCGTAATATTCAGACAAGTGCATAATAGACAAAATTCATTATCTGGGAATTAAAAAAAATGATTTGTTAGTGATATTAATCAACAATCAGCAATTTTTTATTTTAATTTTTGACCAAGTTTTATAATAAAAAAGTAAACACAGTCGTCTTACCTGAGCAGCACCCGAAACTGGAAATAATCTGGCAAAATACAGTGGCCACGTTCTAGCCAACTCTATGACAGTCCTCTTTACATTGGCTCGATGATTGGTATTATAGTTTTCAGCAGTTACTCCGTATCCTGATAACATATTAACACCGGCTCTCTTTTCGGTCTGTGACAACCTTATACAGGGAGTTATCCCATACACATCCATTGCGACTTGGCAAAATATCAGGTGCATTGTTGTTAAGTGTCCAAGTGGTTCTGAAGGAGCAAATACTTCTTTACGTACGCGTAGAACCCATGGTACTCTGTTGTAGGTAACGCAAGCTGTAGTTCCTGGTGGCAACAAACTTGGGGCTGCAATTTTCGGAGATTTTTCTTTCTCTTGTGGAGAAGGTTGAGGTGTAACTGGTGATTTTGATGGTGGTGTTTGTATGGGACGCATGAATTCTGGCCAATCATTAACTGAAATAAAACAAAAAAAACAGTGAATATATGTTTATATGCAAGTAGACCCGCTGAGCTCTTTAGTTTAAAACAAGCCCTCGTCCAAAATGGTAGTTACCGCGAAAATCACATCAATAGGAGCAGCTACAGGCACATCAATCTCCCACTTAATCTCAACCTAAAAACGCAGACCCCCATCTTACGAAAGCTTTTCTTCCTTACATTAAAGGTATCACTGACAAAATCGACAAAATTCTTAAATTAAGAGGAACAGAAACAATATTTACCCCCTAGTAAGAACTTCATCATTAACCAACAACACAAAATAGAATCCAAAATAGAATTTTTGAATGTTCCATTTCTGTTCGAAATTCCGATTTAATTTCAGGTCTAGATCAACACCATCTTCATACAGACCACAAAATTGATTTTGTAAACCATAGAACCATAACCCCCATCCACTTCTATAAACTAAAAATTATCCGAGAAGCCATAGAAATTGAAAAAGGTCAAATTGTCTCAATAAAAGATATGACGACATACGGTTGTACTTCGATATTGAGACTTTTCATAAAGAAAATATCGTTCGCTCCACCCGCCAATCAAAATCCTACTGTCAGAAATGTTCGCGCTAACCCCTGTGCCAATCTCCGTGCAGTAGAAAGCCCTAAAGAAGACATCAAAGAGGATATCGAAAGCTCAGTGCAATGACAATCCGACTCAGTTTAGTTAAAAAAATGCACAAAATGCACAAAAATGCAAAGTTAAAATGCCCACAAATTATTAAATACTTTTTATTTTGGGAAATCCTTCTTAAAAATTTATTTAAATTTAAATCTTACTTAATATTTATTAATACATATTACATAGATAATAATACTAAGAAGTTCTCAAAATACAAAACTTAATAAACATTTTTCTTAATTTGATAACATTTTCCGAAGCGGAAATCGAAACCTAGAATACTCATCACCGTAATTTTTACGACGCCAATGTCGTTGTTGTAAGGGGTAAAAGGTTTTTACACCATTATCTCCCGCCCCCTCATCTATTCTTACGTTAGTGTATATCGAAACGTTTTACAAGTACAATTACGCCTACATTATTAGTGAAGTGCATGCAAATTAGCACAGCTTCGTAAATATTACGAAGGTAAGTAATAACCAGAATAGTAGCAAGTAAGGTTAGGGTAATGTTGATCGCCAACATACGGAACGGATAGGCACTGTAAGAAGAAGAAGTAATAACGATATAATTGCAGAAACAATAATATTATCAGTTTTGTTTTGAGTTAGAAGCTGAGTTGCAATTGTGCCTGGAAGAACTTTGGCCAGATGAATCGGATAACAATTCTGATAAATCAGAAAGTGACTCTAAAATAGAAGATACCGTTTTAGAAGCATTTAGTCCATCTGAATCAGAGTTCGTACCATCAAGCGAAAATGACTTAGATTCCGACCATGACTTGCCATCCAGTAGTAAGAAAAAAAAGTTCTAAAAAGAGTATTGAGTTGAAAAAACAGTTCACATTCAGTGTTTTCAAGAAAAGAAAGTAATGGCTCTAAATCGACAAGGAAAAGAAATGTGCTGCTCAGCAAACTCCATCAAACGAACAAGCATCTCCAGAAATTGCAGCTAAAAAAAAAGCAAACTCGGTTGCCATCTCGTCTAAAAGGTAAAAATGGTCACAGGTGGTCCTTTTAAACCTAAGGCCGCTAGTAAAACTCCAAAACGTAACTTCGTACATTTTGTTCAAGACCCCTCTGATAAAACCAAGGAATCACAAACTCCCTTAAATGCTTTTCATTGTTCTATGGGTCCAGAGTCTCCGGCAAAAATTGTAGGATATACAAATGCTGAAATTTATGTTAGGGCACAAAAATATAAAGTCAAAAAATTTACAAACTCGAAAGTGAATATTCACGAATTGCATGCTAGGACTACTTATTTTTTGCTGCTGTCCCAAAAAGACAAGACAAATGTTTGATGACAAAATTTCTGGTGCGATATATAAAAGGAACTATGATTCGGGAAAGATTTGAATTTTGTTATAGAATGTTTACATTTTAATGGTAAAATGTCTAGACCAGACCGAAAAGAAATAGACCTATTGACAGCCATTCGTAAAATATTGGGTGATCTTATACAGAACTGCAAAATGTCCTATAAGCCCGGATCATACCTAACAATTTATAAGCAGCTACTGGATTTAGGGAAGACGTCCTTTCCGGATGTATATTCCGAACAAGCCAGCCAAATATGGACTGAAAATAGTAATGCTGTGTGACGTAGGTACCAAATACATGTTCGATGCAAAATTGCATTAGGAGAATGTTATGTAAAACAATTAACTCAGGGAGGAAGTAATTGTAACATAACGATGGATAATTGGTTTATGTCAGAACAGCTAGCATAAGAGCTTTTAAAACCTCCTTACAATTTAACTATAGTCGGTACTCTACCGCAAAATACCTCCCGAGATGATAAATCTCAAAAATCGTGAAATTGGTCATTCCTTATTTTGATTCGATGGTAAGAGAGGCCCTGGACGTAGGCGTATATCCTGGCTGACTAATCTTAGGAAGTAGACTGGTCTAATGTCAACTGATTTATTTCGAGCTGCTGTGAATAGAATAAGATGGATCGATGTGGTCGCCAACATCTCTAGAAAATATGCACATTTAGAAGAAGTCAGATATCATTAAATTGTATAATGCAACCAAGTACGGAGTAGATGGCCTCTTTGCTGTTCTATGGCATGGTAAATATAGCTTGCATAAACTCTTGGATAATTTATAATCATATCCAATAACGACAGCTGAAAAAAACCATCACCAGAACAAAATTATGGTCATTTTGTCTGAACAACTGACGAAACCTTGGCTACCTTGCAACTGACGAAACCCCTCGTTTAAATTAGCCAACTTTGAACCGCTCGGTACAGTTGATTATTGAAAATATTTTAAATCTGGAGCCACAGCAAGAACGAATATGCCGCCTATTGTGTCAAAACGTGCCATGTGTCAATTTTGTCCGTAAAAAATGGTCGATCCTTGCGAGCATTGCCGACGTCCATATTGTGGCGAACATGGCGTCCTTTGTTGTCGGCAGTGTAGTTCTAAAATGTCTTTTTCTTGCAGTACCGTCTCCTATCGGAGGTTGGCTACCATCACAGCAATCTTTACTTTGTTGGCTGCAGCTCTGAACAACTGTATTGAACTGCACCCATACCATTCCCTTAAAGTTCGCAACCAGAAAATCCTCCTACGTCCCACATTTCTCTTTTCCGAGATTTTTCCTTGGATTATGAGTCTAAGCAGAGACTACTTTTCTCCTCTCATTACGTGGCCCAGATATTCCAGTTTTTTCATTTGTATGGTTTTTAATGACTTCGCATTCCTTCCGCATCTTTAGCAGAACATCTTGATTTGTTACTCTTTCTGTCCATGGTATTTTCCACATTCTCCTGTAACACCACATCTCGAATGCCTCACTGTTTTTTATGTTTATCTTTTTTAGTGTCCAGGCTTCCATGCCTTACAGCAGAACGGAGAAAACCTAGCACCTTAACATTCTCGTTCTTAAGTTTATATTTATGTCCCGGCTGCATAGGAACTTTTTCATTTGACAAACAATTGTTTCGCTATCTCTATTCGCCTCTGATTTCCCTTGTCTGGTCATTAGTATCAGTGAAGCAAACCCCTAAATATTTGTAGGACGTAACTCTTTCAACTGGTTGATTATTTATGGTTAAATTCACATTGGTGTATAGCTTCTTTGTTACAATCATGAATTAGGTCTTTTTGATGTTAAGTTTTAGACCATACTTATTGGTATGAGTGTTTATGTTTTCCATCAAAAACTGTAAATTTGCTAGATTATCTGTTACTATTAGCGTGTCATCAGCGTATCGTATATTGTTAATTAACTCTCCGTTAATGTTCATACGAATGTTTTGCTCTAGGAGCGCTTCCTGACATATATGATTCTAAAATGTAAAACCTATGATTTTTTTTTATAATTTTTTGATTTGATAAACATTTCTTTGTTCAAAATAATTTGTAAAATTAAGATAAATAGAATACTTTTTCAGTGACCACATTTTTTTTCTCGACGTAGTAAATTTTACGATACGTGTAAATAAAGGTAAAAATAAGGTTAGTATTCTAGGGTTAAAGTAAAACTGTATGTTATTTTCAATAAAAATAGTAAATATATTAAAATACCACAAGAAAATCGCTTCAGAACAACATTAAATGGCAGCGTCGCATCAATATGTATCTCACTTTCGTTAGGTAGGTGGGGCTATCCCACGAATTGGTTTTTTAGCTTCTATACGGATAAAACAAATTTTAATATCAGTATCAGTATAAACTTATCATTTATTGGAGAATATACTATTAAGATTAAAATGGGCAAAAAATTACGTATTTTAATTACAAGTAAGACATTATTTGCCATTAAAAATAATGAAGGATGGAAAAAGATAAGTATGCATTAGAACAATGAATCACAATAGCAAAACAGAAATGTTTGCACAAAAACTAAAGCAATAAAAAAAGTATGGTAGACCTAATACAATAAATAGAGTTATACTTAATTAGACATATTAACAACATTTGTGTTTCATAAATAACTGATTCAAATATTTAGTGTATATTAAAACAGTAAAAGTTCATTCAGACTTACTGTTCATTTCCTTACAAAAACTATACGCACTAATGGCGGCTCTGTATACAACATAAGTTTACTTTAAACTTAAACATTTTCATAAAGGTCCTTGAAATTTGTTTATTTTTAGTTTTCAGATTAACTACTGTTACAGATAGTAATTTAAATTTTTTAATGAGTTTCTTAATTGAAAAATATTATATTCATATTTTAAAAGGTTCAAGCAACTCTTTATACTCATATAAGTTACTTGATTTACAGATGTTCCGTTCTAAAATAGAATAGACAGTAATCAAATAATAGGTAAAACAATGGAGCGGAATTTACAGAAAAATTGGATAATCTAGATTTAAAAACTTATAAGGGGATTAAAATATTAAACATAAAAGTAAAAAAAGATGTGTATTAAAAATAAGTAAATCAACAAAATCAAATTTAAAACAACACAATAAAAGTTAAAGTAGAAGAAGAACTAACTGACCCTACTGAAGATGGCAATGGGATTGGACAGGGAGATTCTCTAATTCCTCTATTGTTCAACCTGATTAGGGATGAAATAATAAAAAAAAATAAGAACTTAAAAGTATAACCAAATGACAGGAAAACAACTTAAAAATAATTTGCTATGCAGACGACGAAATACTACTTTCTCAAAGTGAACACGAGTTACAACGTATGCTGCACCAATTTAATACAACCGGCAGAAAATTTAATGTTAATGTTAATTTTCCCAAAAAAAATCCATGGTTATAACAGCAAATTTACCATGATGTAAATTGGAGCTGGAAGATAAGATAATAGAAAAAGTGATGCGTTTAAATATCTAGGAATCACAAGATCTAGCTACGGAAAGATCGAAACTGAAGTGTAAGATCGAGTGAATAGAGCAAACAGAACAGCAGGTTGTCTGAATGAAACAATATGGAGAAATAAAAGTATCGGAAAAGAAATGGAAGGCAGAATTTACAAAACAGTCGCCAGCCCAATAATAACATAAGCGGCGAAAATACGACCTGACACAGAGAGTACAAAAATGATGTTAGAAACAGCAGAGATGAATATACTTAAAAAAAATCGATAGTAAAATACTATGAAACAGGGGTAGATGTACAGATATCCGAAGTAGATGCAACGTGAAAAAAATCAAGAATTGGGTAAGAAATAGAAGAGTAGGATGGAACAATCATATAAGCCGAATGACATCAAATAGTAAAGACGACAAGAGATGGACGGACGGACGGAGACTTCCTAATTGGAAGAAGATCAGTAAGAAACTCACGTAAACGAAGGAACGACAACTTACTGGAGACACACTGAAAAACAGACAGTCATGTCTACATAAAAAAAGAAGAAGAAATTTAAAACGAGAGTAGAGTACGACAAGCGATACATAGGTTGTTGCGCGTTGACTAAATTTTATATTATTACATAATTTATTTCTTTTTCCGACGAAAATATTGAAATTATAGCAGAAATGTATAAATAAAATAAACATATCCTACCTTCATTTCTTTCAATTTTATCTATTAGCTGCACAGATCCCGTGGAATGCTTCTTTTCCCTTTCTTGAGCACTTTTCGACAACATGTGGGTCTTGAAGGTCGGAGGTCGTTCGACGGATTCTTGCTCTGAGACTTTTCTAAATTTTCTAGTTTTCTCAAATTTGATTTCATCTCTATCCCACATATCTACTGTATATTTAGCATCGATTGAAGTATTTGTTGTGGTTTCTCCTAGATCCCAACTGTCTCTGCGATCTTAAATAAAAATCTTTCTTTAACATAATTATTTATAAACTTAAAAATATTTACTTTGTTTAAAATATATCCAGTTCCTCAAAAAAAAAGATATTTGACTCTCTAAGATATAGGAAACATTTTAGAGATAATTTTGAAAGAAATGACCACAAAAATCTCTTTATAAAGTCTACAGACTGTCGACATAGACATTTTGGTCATTTGCATAATTATTTTATTAATAATTTTAATCTTCTTAAAATGATCACTAACAGAATAGGAGTGCATTCAACAATACGGTCAATACTCTTTAAAAGCCACAACCTTAATCTGGACATCCAAAGTCAGGCTCCTACGATCTTACATGGAGTTCAATCCTGGATAGTCACTAAAGCAAGGACAAGAGACTACAAACTTCCCAACACAAATTGAAGTTTTTTTTTTGAAAATTTGAAGAAACTTTTGGTTTCTGAGTTTCTGGAGAGATCAAAATTTGGTCGGAACACACTGAAGTTAAGATAAATCCAATACAATATTCCACTATTTTTAATGACATAACAATTTATCTACAATTTTATCTACTAACTTTTTTGGGTTTTAATATTGATATTTATATAGATATAGATTTACAATAATTTCTACTTACTTTCCCTTTTATCTTTAGTCCATTCATGGACATCATCAGTTGTGTCGTGCGTTATATTACTTTGAACATCCCAATTTGTACTAAAAGAATTCCTCTTGGAATTATTCTGGTTGATCAAGTTTTGGTGAACTCCAAAAGTATCCCTATCTTGTCTTTGAGTCATAAAGGAAGACTCTCTGATGGGTTCTGCCTGTGGCGTATGATTGTGAGGACGTATGACTGGTGGAGGAGGTGCTGGGCCACTAGGAGCTGGAGGTAAAGAAGTTGGGCCTACTGGAGGGGGAGGTGGGCCTGGTTTCCAGTTCGAGCTACCCCAACTTTGAGAAGTGGGCGACTTATTACCATTCTAGAAAATTTTTAAAAAAATTATATGTGATTACGGTATTACATAATATACTTACATTTACGGGACTTTCTGGACTAGATTTTCCACTATTATCTCTTGAATCATCTCCCCATCTACCGGTAAGTTGTTGTTCCAGCATCATTTTTCTGGTATCCTCCAGTTTATTAACAGTTCTAGCAGGCTTATCAGTACTGCTTGAAGATCTAACAGAATGGTTGGCTGTAACCATTTCTAACCTTTTTTTCATTTCAGAACTTAGTTTCAATTTACCAACTGAACCAGGTGAAGGTCTTGCCGCTCCAATTTCAAACACTCTCTTACTATTAGCCTTGTTAGTTTTTTCAGTTTCTCTAGGTAGTGGTTCATACTCGATCTCTTCCCATTCGGCACTTTTGTCATTTTTCCCATGGCTGTGTCCATTATGTCCATTTACTACTGTCATTGATTGATCTTTATTTGGAGTAACTTTACGTTGATGTTGCCTCATTTTGAAATGCATAAAATCTTCACTAGTCTCTTGACTTGTGCTATCTTTTGGAGGTGGCCACCTCCATTTGCCTATACGAACTGTTTTAGCCCGTCCGTATGGATCCAAAAATGGTCTTGCTTCGTTTGGATCAGTAGCTTCTAGTGGAGGAGGCATTGGTGGAGGTGGTGGTGGAGGTATTCCACTTTTGCTCATTACGCTAATGGTTGATTCTAAGCTTGCTTTACGGGTTTTAAAGTCTATGTTTGGAGAACTAGACTTTCTATTATTTCCTGATTTGAAGCTTAATTTCCTATTTGGTGTAGTAAAGGTACTAGATTGATGCACTTGTGCTTTGACTGTAGTTGTTACCGTCTCATTAACTTCACTGGATAAAGAGCTTTGTTGACTTAACAATTGTTGAAGCGCCTGATTTTGAGCTAGAAGTTGCTGCTGGATTGAATATTTTGAGCCATGGCAGACTGTAAGAAAGCTCGTTGTAAATTTTGTTGAAAAGATGATATATCAGTACCATTTTGAGGCATTCCGTTCATACTAACACCAGGTATATTAAAAAGAGGCATCATGCCTTCTTGTGTTGGACTGAGAAGAGGCATCATTAATGGCGAGTTTACCATAGGAGGAGGAATTGCTGGTAGAGTAAAGCTTGAAGTGCTGGCATCACCTTTTGTTGTTCCTCCGCCTTTAATGCTTTCAACTAAATTCATTTTTTCGGTAAGATCTTTTACACTGTCGTTAATAAATATTGGATTAAAAAGATTACTTATGTAGTCATCAACATTATTTCCATTAGTTTTATTTGTCAAATTCTCAACTTCTTTATCTAACACAATATTTTCTTTGTTTTCCTTTTTTAATTTTTCACCGCCTCCTTTAACTTTTGACATTATTTTATTTGTTTCAGACATATCTACATTTTCTAATTCAATACTTTCCAAAACATGATCTAGGAAGTCATCAAGGCTTTTATTTTTCCTTTGAATATCAGATTTTTCATTTTCTGCTAGTCCTCCACCTTTGACTCTTTTTACAATGCTATTAGTTCTGGACATATCGACATCATTGCATTCTATATTTTCCAAGACGTTGTCTAAAAATTTATCTAAAATTTCATGATCACACTCAACTTGATCAACCTCTACTCTTAAACGAGGTAATTGGTTAAAAGTGCCGCCTTTTACACTAGCAGCGACTGATCTAGCATCACTTAATTCATCCAAATTACCATCTAAAACAGGACTGAATAACTCGTCCAAAAATTGGTCCACATCTGAAGCTTGGCTAGGTACTCTTACCCTCCTTACGTGACTAGCTAAACTGGGAGCTTCACTAGTATCTGACATAGCTGAGCTTCTTATACCAATAAACTCAGATTTTTCAATATAAGCTTTGCTCGAATGTGAGCCTGGAGGAGCTTTTTTACCTGCATAAGCTGATTTAATATACCTAGGACCTCCTCTATGTGAAGTACTCACGCTAGATACATCAGGGTATTCAAATTCTTCTTGTTTGGGAAGATAGTTCTGGTTCGCAATTACTGGTTTAATTAAACTAAGTTGTTCGACTGAGTGATATCTCTCATTAAGCTTAGAAGATTGACTTAATCCTAGATCTGCCAAAGGACTTGGTTCAGGTTCGCTTAGTAGATTATCCAAACTTCTAGATCTAACTTTTTCAATGTCAAAATATCTTTCATTTAAGGCTGAATTTCTAGATAAAGCTTCATGCGATGTTTTCCTTGATGAAGGTGATACGTTGGGCTGAACTTCTCTATGAGGAGGTCTAGAAAATTCTTGAATTTCTTTAGACGATTTTCTCGAGACGCTTCTAGATGGTGGCTGTACTGGTATAGGTGTAGAGTGTCTGTTGGACGAAATTTTTCTTTCCTTGTTCATCATTGGTGGTTCAGGTGGTGGAACTTGAGGTCTTGCAGGGGAGTGTGAGGAAATATGGCTTTCTGGTTCTGCAATTGATTGTCGTTTAGAACCGTATTTGAGTTTCGTTGATTTGGGTATGGGGAAAGCAGGACAAAGCTCTAGTTCGGAGACTAAATCAAATACATAGTCTAGACCGCTGCCTTCTGTTAGAATTGAAGAATCGTCCATAACTACTGTCCAACCTTCTGTAATTCCTCCAAGGGATGAGACCGCTAAAGATGCAACCTAAAAGGAGAATTTTTTATCAAATAAGTCTTTTATAACAACAGTTTTTTTCATAATGGGATATATAATTTGATATAATGGAATTTGATATGAGACAACAAGAGTTTAATAAGTTATAGATGATAAGAACATTTTTTACAGTAGACAAACAGTTGTATTGGTATTACTAAAATTTGTAGTAAAACATTTCTCATAACATTGATTTATCATTCAAGAAATTTAAATTAAAACGTCTGCAGATTGGTTTTATGGACGCCAAAACATAGCAGATAAAGCAAATTTATATTTTCTCTATTACATTTTGATACTTACTTCTTCACATGTGGTCCAAGAATCCACATTAACAGTTGAAATGGTTTTGTCCGCAAGTGTTAAAGTTAAAGCTGTGTTGTATCCTTGCCGTATGCTTCTCCATTCGAGTAAAGATGGCGGATACGTTCTTGCATGTGGTGATTTATGCACGCCCCTAGTTATTTTTCTTTGGAGAGTTTCCTTTATATTCTCAGGAACATGATCGCTGACGTATTTAAGCAGGTATCTACAAGATGAATTAAAATAATTGTTAAATTACTTATTTGTATTGCTTTTTTTAAAATTAATTCATATATAATGAATATTTTCTACTTACTTGTGCAACGAAGGACTTGGTTGAAAGCAACTTAAACAATGGGCCATCAGTTGACAAATTCTTTCTGAGTTATCATTTTGATAAATCTGATTACACAACTGAATCAATAGTTCATCTCTTAGCCCTTTTGAAGATAAGCCTTTGTGAACGACATAATCCGCTAACGCTTTTTCTTTTGTTCCATTCAGTTGGGAATCGTTCGACCAACGTAGTATTAGTTTAAATAGAGCAACTGCATCTTGAAAATCTTCGTCCCTAGCAGCAGCTTTGGATAGAAATGGAATCGTAATAGGTTCCTTTTTCATCCTCATATCGGCACCTTTAAAGTATACAGAAGAAAATTTAGAAAATTCGAATTGATCTAAATCAGATGGCAGAATCAAGGGTTGAGGAGATCCGGTAACACCACCCAACACCTTCATAAGACTTTTTTCCGTATGAGGGGGAGTATAATTTTCTAATTTGGAAAATATAAAAGCTAGTTCTGCTGGAATTTCTAGGTGATTTATGTTGACTTTGGCACTGGATACTTTAGCTGCAGCAGCTTGTTTTTGTGCCTGCGCTTGAGCTTGAGCTTGCAGCTGCGCTTCTCTGGCGGCTCTTTGTTTGGCTCTTTCTTTGGCTACTTTCTCAGCATCGACCTTTCTTCTATACTCAGCTTTTCTTTTTTCAAATCTCTTTCTTTCGAGCCTACCTCTATAGTATGCTTGGGCTTTAACGACACCTTTCTTTACTATTTGATATCGTTTTCGTTGACTGTATCCTTTCCAGTGTTTTTGAATTGTTATTGCATTGGTTCTAATCTTTTTGTATTTCTTTCGTGCAAGATATCCTCTTATATTCTTTTGTATCATCACTGCTGCTCCTTTTAGGGATTCGCCTCTGGTGGATTCTAGTTTTCGTTCAAGACTTTCCCTCAGGAATACCCTTGTAGCTCCTAGTTGGTAATCTGGACCCTCTGAAAAAGTATAGAAGACAAAATTACCATAATAAATTAAAAACAATATTATAAAATGTATAAATTTATTTATCCAATTTACTTACCTGTGTCCGTAGGAGGTATTAAGTCTAAAATGGCTCTACATAAGTCTCTGTAAGGAGCTCCTCTAGGAATTCTGGTTAATAAATATCTGAAAAAATTGAATATTTATAAGTAATTATGTGATAATAACCAAAAAGAGGAATAAAATATACAGCTTTTTTGTATTTTACTATTTACATTTTTCCCAGGGTACTCTCGCTAATTAATACATGTTTACAAAGGAACATGAATCCCTAAAGAATCCTTAAAGAACAAGACACAGTGGCATAAAACGTCTAAATTAAAAATTTGTTGTACATGAATATTGTTTTTATTTTTTTTTAATTGGCGCAAGAAGTTTTGACTAAAAATAATGGCGGATAATCTGAATGTGACACTTCCGGTTATACCGGAACTAGACATTAACTTTGTTATGTTAAATAGTACTTTAATTTTTGTTATTTTATTTTTGAATTCTATTAAATTTTGGATAAATTTTGTGCACAATGTCTTATACCAAAAATGAAGTATTTCCAGTATATTCCTTTTTTTTATTTTTTTTTACAAACTCGCATCAGCCTGTAAGGCTATTAGCGAAAAAAGAAAACCTATTAACAATAATTCAATAGCGTAACAATTAAATTTTGTATAAATAGTTTATTGCTTTTAGATATTGGATAATCACTTTGGCACCGCACTTTAAGAATAGTTCCCTCAAATTCTCCTGGATCCGCACTGTGTGACATCTTCCCGCACTGTGTAACACTCCGGTTAAGATACCCTTGTCGTCAGATATCCATGCGTAAGGCGACTATAACCAAGCCGCAGTCGTGTGATGATAACCTGAGAAAAACGATTGGTGAAACTATCAGACCATGGTTGAAATATTGGTTTTATCTCAAGTAATTTTGCCTGTTTTTTGTGCCATTCGCTATTCCATATATTAATTATTTGGCTGTGGAAATATGATTTGAGATCTGTCGCTGGAGTTTTTGAATAGAATTTAATAGTTGTGTCCTCTAAGGCTTCTCGTGCATATTTATATGCTAGATCGTTTCTCGTGATTCCAATATGAGATTGTTTTGGTCTCTTCTCGTGCATATGTATACACAGTGAGACTGTTTTGGTCTCTTTGAGAATATGATGCAGCGAGTTTTAGATGAAGCAAATTGAAAGTTTTATATTTTTAATAATATTTCTACTACTTCGTCAGTTAGGTGTTTCAAAAAAGAAGCTGGGATGTTATCGGGGCCAGAGGATGTGTCCTTTAAAGAATCTGCTATCTTTCGTAGTTCTTTGATTATGAAAAGTGCATATATAGGTTCATTATTGTTTACTACAGTAATAGGGATAGTTTCTGTTTGTTGTTTGTATGTTAAGAAATCTTTATGATAGTTAGAATTTGTGGATGTTAACTTGAATGTTTCCGCTATTTTTTCTACGATTTCTGCATGGTTTGTTATTGACGATTTATTTTCTACTTCTAAGAGATCGATTCCTTGATACTAGCTAGTAACATAATAGTAATATATGTGTAATTATTGATCGTTTCTACATATTTTATCCAGGATTGTCTTTTAGATCTTGTGGTAATCAGTTTAGCTCTAGCTCTACTTCTTTAAGACTAATTAAGTTTTCCAAGCTTTTACCGTTTGTACTTTTAAGGAGCTTTCTTACTTTCTTTAATAGCTTCTCTACAATCTTCATTCCACCATGGAGTTACTTTATCTCTTTTAATAAACTTTGTTTTACCTATCGCTTCTAGAGCTGCTTCCGTTATGAATTTATTGAACTGTAAAAATTATTTCGTCTATTGAATTGTCTAAGCAAATTTTTGATGATTCGCTACGGTAATGTCTTGAAAACTGCACCAATCAGCTTTATCTAGCCTCCATTTCGGATCAGTTGTAACTGGCGTAGGTTTCATCGAGTGTTTTTCTATTAAAATTGGCAAGTGATCACTCTCATACAAATATTTTTCTACATACCAATTGTGATTTAATTGAAGAGTTGGCGTACAAAGTGAGATACCGAGATATTTCTATTTTTCTGAATTTTAAGGTGATATTTTATTTTTTCTGTTATTAAGTTATTAATTCTGAAAAGTATCTAATACAATGAAAGCATTACTAATTATTAATATCATTACAAAAATGTTGACTAGGTATTGTGTATTATTTTAATTAGATAAGTTATGATTCCTTTTCATTAAGTTATGTCTTGTTATTTTTTTAAATACGGTCGGGTATTAGAGAATTAAAAGTAAGTAAGACTCTCTGCATCATATCTGCCTTTGTCGTAAGCGGTTTGAAAAATACCCGATTTTTAATGTAACCATCCACCTATCATCAAACATGTCGTTAAAATGCTGAGCAACAGGTCCACAGTTATGAGGATGGTACCAAGCTGAAGCTGCCTCTCTATTTCTTAACATACTTAATGTAACGCCGGTCATATGGCTGCTTCTAAAACGTGGCAATATCTTTCACCATTTAAATTTTCATCTTAAAATGTTAATGCTAAAATTTTACTGTCTTTTATTGCACAAAAACAATACTAAAACTCATATCTTTTAATTAACATTCTCTACTAACATGTGGATTTTTGTTAGACCAAACATGGGAATTATGTTGATTAGGTTATACATTTTTGCTAAACTTTGCTTCATCAGACGATATAACTTTTTTTATGAAGTTTTCACGCTCTTGGGTCTTCATTAAAAACAATTCACAGAATTATACTCTTCGAGAAAGATCACATAATTGTAACTGTTGCACCAAGTGATATGAAAATGGTTTTTGTTTGTGTTTTTTTAATGGGATGAATTGTTCTCGTCGACAAAGCAAGATCTCTCTCACAAAATGTAATGGAGGCATTTGGAGAGGCCGAAAAAAACTAAAAACATTAATTTTGTTTATCATTGTCCTCTATGTGGTTAATTTTTTATTTATTTTTGTCTTAAATTCACCAAACTGACGGCAGTTTTTAAGCAATCTTCTTACAATATCACCAGTTGCGTTTGGTCGATTTGGATATCTTTCTACAAAATTACGGCAAGGCCGTTCAACAATTACATTACACTAATTGTAAAAAAAAACTGTCAAAACAATACATACATAAACAATTTACTTTCTAACTATCACACCTTTGACAGCCGTGGCCTACCCTTTACTAATATTTAAAAAATAATTAAGTAATATTTTATGATTTAACTTAGATAAGGAAATATCTCTATCTTGATTGAAGTATAGAGAATACCGATAATAATACAAGGTGTTCTATTTAAAGAAAACAACTTTAAATAGATGATTTATAGAATATGGAAGAGATAATATTTTTAAAATAAATGATTTTAATTGTGCATGTTGGCGGCTAAGTTTAAAACACCTGTATAAACCATCAATAAGCTAGAAATCTGGAGTTTTACGGGAAAGATGTTATCAAAAATTTTGAAATAAAATACTAAATACCTACAAAATACTTGATTTGTCTTCAAATGTATTCAACTTAATTCGAATGGAACAATTGGAAGAGCGTTGTGTTTCGGAATATCTCACCCATATTAATTTAAGCTACGAAAAACTTTTTAAAAATATTTATTTTACACACACTTACGGTTGCAACAAAGAACCGACAGCAATAAGTAAATAGTTGACTTATCAAAGACCATTAGAGTCTATGGCGTCTTTGTAAGCTGCTACTACAATAGGAAACACGTAATGCATTATTATGATATTTGAGTTTGATTCGTAGACACCTATGCATGTCTTACGATATTCAAGTACCATAAAATTGCGCTAGCATGCTGGCGTTGAAAACAGTTCGATTACACAGACTGTCACAGTATTTTGCTTCAGAGACAAAAATTTCCTCATATTAAAAAATATTACAAAATACTTATAGTTTTCTTACCTATATCTATCTACAAAAATTATGAAACTTCATCCTAACCGGATAACCCGATTGTCTAATTCTAATTGTGTCTAACATTCCATTATATCTATACCTATAATCTTACCTATATCTATCTACAAAATGATGGAACTTCATCCTAACCGGATAACCCGATTGTCTAATTCTAATTGTGTCTAACATTCCATTATATCTCAACTGTTCCAGAACTATTGGCATGTCAAACCTCATTGGCGCTTTGTCGTTGTTGGGTTTGATACATCTTATAAACCAAGGGTTACATCTCGACATTGATTCCAGCAGTGTGTGAAGACTATCGCTAAACCTGGCAGCAACTAAAAAATAAAAATAAATATGTATATGTATATTATATAAACATACTCCGAAACCGGTCGCAGAAACATAATATCATTTAAGACTTAATAAACATAAAGGATTGTGAGTAGATCCTTTTGTTTCCACATCACTAGTTTTTTAACTCATTTTGGCTGCATTTTCTCATATATCTGAAATATTCACAAGAATATATCCTCGGATTAAGTTATACCAGCAAATTTGCATTAAAATCTTTGAAAACGGAAATCAGGAGATTGCTGATAATTGAATGAATGAAAATTAAATGAAAAATATTCTGAGACTAGAGGAAGGGAAAGGGATCGTTTGGGTTTTTTTTTTCTGTAAACATAAACAATGCTTAAAGTATATGGAAATCTCAAATATTTAAACAAACTCTATGTAGTCCAAAAACACAGAGTATTGGCAATAATCATTTTAAAGTCGTCTACTTTAAACTGTTTTAATATGTGTCAGAATTGTCAATATGAATGAGTCAGATAAAATTAAATTATATAGACATGCCCCGCGAACTCCAGTAAAAAAAATGTTATTCTATTTAGTTTACTTCCAGGCCGTATGAGGCCGTGCAAAACGTTAATTTATGCATCATAGAACATGACATTTGACAAGCCCTGCACTGTGACCTACGCGTCCAAAAAGCCAATTCAAAATGAAGCCTTTATAGCGTGTAGCTGTTTACGTGGTATTTGTTTGCGATTATTTTGGTTTTTGCGACTGTTGAAAAAATTATTTTCAATCGTATTTTTCGATATTTTTTTATACCCGATTAAGTGGTGTTTTTGTTTGGTTTGTGTGACCATAAGAATAGTTTATATTCATTCCTATTTTTCCATATTTTTATACACCTGATTAAGTGGTAAGATTTTTTGATTATATTGTAGATTGATTGATTTATCCATGGAACGAGAGTGTTTATCTAACGTGTTTAAAATACACATTTATTTATTTTTAGGTAAAATGCCTCCCATCAACTGTTGTGTGCAGACATGTTGGAAAAGTACAACAAGTAAACATAGATTTCCGGATCCATAAAAGTACGCGGATCTTTTTAATCAATGGGTACATTTAGTGGGTGATAAAAACCTGTTGGATAAAGATCCTCAAAAGGTCTACACAAGTAACAGAGTTTGCTCCATTCATTTCAAAGCAGAAGATTTTGGTCCTAATAATCGACTAAAAACAGGAGTTTTGCCATCCATCAATCTGCCAGGTATATAATTAAGATTTAGATATTGAAAGTTAAGTTAGTACTGCACATATATTTTTGTTGTCATTGTGGAGTTACAGGTTTTTTTTTATTATTGAAACTTTAATATTGATATTGTTTTCACTCACTCAAATTTTTTATTTCAGCCTCTTTGGGTGAGATACATTTACCCCAGACAGAAAGGCCTCTACTAAAGGACATACAAAATGTCATGTCCAGCTGTAGTTTCAGTGTGTCTCCAGGCACAAATTATTTATTAAACATTGATACTTGTCCTGGAACTAGTAATCCAACTCCAAAACGTAAGTATTTCTATATTAGAAAAGAAGAAGAGAAGATTTTATCCAATTATAACCTGGCCCTCTAATACCATATCTGTAAAGCTTTTCCATTAGTATTTTGTGATTTAAAGTATCAAATGCCTTTGATAAATCTAAAAATATGCCCATGGATATATCTTTGTTTTCATAACCCTCATTTATCTTTGTTATAAAATCATAAATGACAGTCTCTATAGAATTTCTGTTAAGGTACCCATGTTGTGCATGGCATAACAGTCCCTCACTATAGAAAAAACTGAGAAGCCTGTCACACATGACTGTTTCAAAAACCTTTCAACTGAGACTGAGCAAGAATTTACATGTCTATAATTCTTTAGATCACATTTATCCCCTTTTTTGTGAAATATTGTTACTAGACTATCTTTTAAGTCTTTAGGGATCTTGCTATTATGGAACCGTCTATTAAATACCTGTTATTATAGGGATGGTTAGTGGCTTACTTGTTTTCAAGAGCTCGGCAACTATACCGTTGGGTCGTGGAATTTTATTATTTTTCAGCTCTTTTAAAGCTCTTTCTATTTCGAATCTTTTTATATTTGGTATGACTTCTGATCCCACGTTTTCCATCTTAATGAATCAACAAAGGAGAAGGCCTAGAGTTAACGAAGAAATAAATATTTTAATGTTTAATGTATCAATAATGTATCAATATATATATATATATATAATATATATATATATATATATATATATATATATATATATATATATATATAATTGGGTGGTGCCAGTAAAATAAATAAATTTTAACAACATAATAATTATTGACATAAATCTTCATTTTATAATTCAAAATTTACAAACTAAATTTAAACAGTATACTCTGTAAAATGTAACATTATATAAATAAATAATTAAGAAAGAAAATTTTGTTGTGTTTTATCTTGATTGTTCACTCCATGAAAATATCTATTGGAATAAACGTTCTTGATGTTGATTGGATAGTATGCTCAAGGTGAGTGAGCCGTAAATTTGAAAGACTTACCGTACAGCTTGTCACGCAGGGGAGCTATACTATACTATATATTATATCATCCGCTCTTTATTGGTGAGCCTGCATACACGGAACCATTAGTTCCGTCTATGCAGGCTTATTTATTATTATAGAGAGCGGGTATGATATAATATAGCATAGCTCCCCATATGTGACAAGCTGTACGGTAAGTCTTTCAAATTTACCGCTCACTCACCTTGAGCATACTATCCAATCAACATCAAGAAGGTTTAAAATTTCACACCTATCATGTAGGAGCTACTATCCAATCAACAACAAGAACGTTTAAAATTTTGCACCTATCATGTGGAAGCCACAGACCAATTATGTGAAGGCCATATTATGGTATACTTCCAGGCCGAGAGGTGGCGCTGAAATACGTGACATATTTTATGAAGAGTAAGATCGCATTCTACCTAACCTTCTTACCTATGTTATTAGAAGAATTTTTCACCAAGTAACAAAAGTTTGTTGAATTTATGAATGTTTTGTTTTTTGAGAACGATTTCCGAAGTGAAAATTGAAACGTAAATTAACTTATTTTAAAGTTAAATTGTGGCTCATTCCTAATTAAAATAGTAATTACTTTAAGATGCCACCAGGAAATAGCTTCAGAAAAATTTTAGTTTGGAGTGTTGCTTAGTTTCTGTTATCTAAATTAGACGGCGCTACATAGCCATAGACAACTGCGAAATTTACCTACATGTCGGAAATTCTTTTCTCAATCGCTCGAAAGTGGCCAGTACAATCATACTCCCTAAATCAGGGAAACCCCTAATTAGCACCGAATCCTACAGACCAATATCTCTACTGAACAATCGAGGTAAAGTCTACGAGAGAATCCTTAAGAACAAATGCAAGAGAATAGAAATAAGGAGAATTCCTAGATACAAACAATATCATCCCAAAATTCCGATTCTGGTTCAGAGCTGAACATTTTTCTCGAAATGCATTGACAGAAGCTGCAACCTTCATCTCACGTTTAATCAATGAAAAAGGCAAAATAGCTATTGACATATTCCTAGATATCCAGAAAGCCTTCGATCAGATCTGGCACACATGTCTGATCAAAAAACTCCGCCGCTCTGGACTGCAACCACATTCCTAAAAACAATCCACTCGTATCTCTCCAATCGGATTATGAGAGTTACAATTAACAATAAATATTGCCACAAGCTTAAGTACTTCACAGGCTCAATTTTAGGCACCAATCCTATATACACAGCGACCTCCTCCGCCCCTACGATCAAAATGAAACCACCCTCCTTTATGCCGACGATACAGCACTGCTCGCATCAGGCATAGTAGATGGAATAATGAGGAACCGCTCTGTATTCAGTAGATCTTAAGTCCAACTTGACAAAATCGTCAAATAGTGTAACAAATGGAGAGTCACTCTCAACCCAACCAAGATACAAGCCATCCTCTTCAGATATCCGAGAACCTCTCGGTTTGAAGATAAGGGTAACCTGATAGAGCTCTATGGATCCAGACTCTTGTTTCAGAGTTGAGTTTGCTACTTGGGTGTTTAATTTCAGAGAAACCTCAATTGGAAGAATAAACTTAATCTCACTCTAAACAGAGTGGAAAAAAGGGATAGACTCTTGGGAGCTCTATCAGGCAAATCTTGGGAAACACAGGGCTCTCTTTCACACTTATAAAACTTACATCAGACCTATCATTGAGTACAGGGCCGTTCTTTATTCATCCATTGAACATCCGCCAAATAAATGCCATCATGGCCACTGAACGTAAGATCTTGAGAAAGATCATGAGAAAGCCTGCTGACTATCCGTCGGCATTAATTCACCAACTGGCGAACATACCAACCATAGAGAGCAGAATACGAACCCTCAGTAAGAGATATGTCCTTCGCACCATCACAACCTATAACATCAGAGTAAAGGAGGTTCTTAAAACATATTGCCACCACCTAGGACACATACGCACCAGGCATCCCACTAAGAAAGTTCCCTTCCTCCCGACTAAACTTCTCAATTTGGCTAAAAACTGAAAGTACTTAAACATCCTTGAAGCGATCAATAAAATATCGCAGATTATAACATTCTGCAAGCCATAATGCACAATCGACAAGAGCCGTTCCTAAACTGTAGCTGGTAACACTCGAAAGGCACCTCCACACAACAGCATTGCATGGCTAGCAACTTTCCTCCATACTACCACGCACCACAAAAAACAAAACAAAACACAATATACACACACTGAATGACTACTGCTTTTTAGCAAGCTACTCGCCTTTCCGATCTCTCCTAAACAAACACAAACTGCAATCACAGACTGGCGTCTGCTCTTAATTAATCTTCACATGCAAGGGAGCTCACATCTTGAAGAGGCGCCCCGACTAAACGAGGTATAAATAACGTCACTTCTTCTCCTCTTAATCGCTCAACCCGGGCATGAGTTACAAATTGTGTCTAACCTTTTATTAGGATATCAAAAGAATACAAGAAGAAATACTAAGTTTTTAAGGTATGTTTCAATCAATTTATAACTTAGTTTCAGCAAATAACATGCTTAAAATATCTTATTAATGATAAACGAACAATTTTTAATAATAATACATTAGTAGATATCTTAATTAGGTATAAATAAAGTCACTCCTTCTCCTCTCAATCGCTCAATCGGGCATGAGTTGCAAATTGTGGCCAACCTTTTCTTAGGACATCAAAAGAATACAAAGAAGATATACTAAGTTTTTAAGGTATGTTTTAATTAATCTATAACTTAGTTTCAGCAAGTCACATGCTTAAAATACCTTATTAATGATAAACTAGCAATTGTTAATAATAAAACATTAGTAGATATCTTACCAGTTGGTGTCCTTGGTTTCATAGTAACAAATCTGCCATTAGTTCCTCTGGGAAGAGTTCTGGTTTGAGTATGATGTAATAATGGTTTCGCAATAGCACTGATTAAGTCATTTTTACTGGATGCTATGAGTTCAATAACATCAGGTCTTAAAGCGTCTCGATTTTTGTCCAAGAATCCGTCCACCGAATACCAAACTTGCCCAGCAAAATGTCTTATCTATAAAACAAATAAGTTTTACTAACAAATTGCTAACAGTTTTTATTGTTCTGCTAATTAATTATTGTCATAAGTATTTTATGTTTTGTAACCACATAATAACAAAAAGTTTCATTTTTTTTAAATCCAAATATTGTATTACTTACTCCGAATTCTCTTCCTCCTACTCTAGGACGACAATAATTCTCATTTAAAGCATGGTTGTAGTGACATTTTTCTAAAAACGAGAGTCCGATGCTTTTGGAAAATTGCTTTCATCATCCAGAAGATGTAGAATACCGACAGGTTTTTTTCCTAATAAGTGTATCACTGGTGTGTTGTCAGTCCATGTTAAGTTAGTCCATTCCAGTCTCTCCTTGGCATATTCTTGTTGTTCTAAAAAAGAAAAAAACACAAGCATGAAAATACATAAGTACCTAATATCTTTAAACGAAGGTTTGACTGTACTTGATATTGCCACTTATAATATTGTTTCTATGTTATAGCCTATTTCTATTTCCTATGGCACTTGATGGCACTTGTTGCTATTGTAAGGGCACATATTTATATTAAGACTGTATGTATTAAACATTTCAAATATAATACATATATGTATACTATAATTCTACTATTCAAAAAGGAGATAAAAACAGCCAGAAAACAACAGATGTATAAACTTGCTAAAAACTACGCTAAAACTTACAACTAAAATTTTGTAAGTGCTAATAAATCATTATAGATAAGGATAAGTTTAGCAGATAAACAACAGGGTTTTGGTCGTGGAAGATCGTGTATAGATGCAATATTCGTTATAAAGCAAATTACTAAGAAATCACTAAAGACCAATATTTCTGTGTCGGATTGACCTAAAGAAAACGTTTGACAGATATTTGCCAAAGCTGTAATCCATCTTCTGTATAATAGAGAAGTTCCCCTTAATATTACAAAAACTATCGAAAACACAAAATGGAAGTCAGAATAGATGGACAACTTACAGAACCTAGAGAAATAGGCAGCGGAATAAAACAAGGCGATTCATTGAGCCCCATGTTCTTCAATTTAATCATAAACGAAATCCTCAAAAGCGTTAACAAAGGAAGAGGATACATAATGGGAAACAAATAAATAAAATACTCTGTTACGCAGACGACGCAATATTGATAGCCCAAGATGAAGATAGTCTGCAAAGACTGGTCCACAGATTTCACATAAGAGCAAAAGAATTTAATATGACAATCTCAATCTCTTTCCAAGTAATGGAAATAAAATACCTGGTAATTGCACTGTCTAGCTATGGAGACCTGGACGAAAAAGTGAGAGATCAAGTACAAAAAGCAAATAGACTGACAGGATGCCTTAATAACACTATATGGCGAGAAAGACCAGTGTAAGACCAATAATGACATATGCCTCAGAAACAAGACCTGACACAGTCACAACGCAAAGGCTACTGGAAACGTCAGAGATGAGAGTACTGAGAAGAATTACAGGAAATACGCTGAGAGATCGAAAGAGAAGTGAAAGCATTAGAAGAAAATGTAGCATACAGTGTATAAATGAATGTACACAAAATAGAAAAAAAAAAAAGAATAGAATATTCATATAAGCAGAATGGAGGAGACCCGTGTCGTCAAAATATTAAAAGATAAGTCACCAATCAGCAGAATAAGTATCGAAAGACCGCGCAAAAGATGAAGTGACAACCTTCCATAGAGGTATCAATCCATCAATGAACAAGCAGAATTACTGCTTATAAAGAGGAAGCAGAAGAAGATATTATGCTGTAACGATGTTATAGAAATCTACTTCCATAATTGTTGTTTGCAAATAACTAGATATTACAATTTTTTGTCAATAAAAATAACTTTTTAATAATATATAGCTTTGTTACATTTTCTGCTTGTTTAATTTATCATAGACCCCACAATCATATCCGACACACTGCCCCCTGTCCTCCCTTTTGCTTTTTAATTACTCTACAGGGACCTTTCCAATTATCTAGCTATTGTGATATATCTCACTAAATCTCAGCTACTTTATACTTTCTGTTTATGTCCAAATTACTAGAGAGCTAGCAATTTTTTCGTAAATATAGAGATCCATACCATCTTAATTAGTGAGGGTTAGTGGTTGGAAGAGCTAGTAGCTTTGTATTAAGTTGACTGAAAACTGGTTCTTACTACTCACGGGCCAAATGAAGAAATAAAGCCTTTTTAAAGTGAAGTCCCAGACCCAGTCTCGCAAGGTCAATAAAGCAGCATTTCCAGACTGGAAATCTGCTAGGAAGCAAGACTGCAGCAGTTTTTGTTAATTCCTTTACTGCGACGCACCAAACAATTTGGTGTTTGTAATGTGTAAATTGCCACAAAAAACCCTCTAACTGAAATGAATTGCGAAGGTTCAAAACTTAACCATTCAGGCAACTAGAACGAACCATTATGAATCTTGCACCAAGAATAACTTTAAAGGATTCTTGGGAGACAGAAAACTGACGTATCAAAGCGTAACATATATACCGTAAAAACACTATCCCCAGATGATAAATTTATATAATTAGAGGAGGAACTGAGAGATAGACAATGGGACTTAATAGGTCTCTGTGAAGCAAGAGAAAACTTGAAGAACAACTTCTGACATTAATAGCAGGTCACATTCTACTATGCTGGAATATTAAGCAAATATTAGTGAATTACACTAAACAATAGATATGAAATAAGAGTTAATACAAAATTAATGCTCCAACATCAATACATTAAGAAAAAGAAATGAAATACTACCAGCAAGAATTAACAACAGCATTTTTGTAAACAAAATGTGATTTCACTTTTCTTATTGAGACTTATGTTGCTAAGGTAGAAAATTCAAATTGATGTCAAAACAAGTCACTATTTTTTAAAATAACTTTTTTTAAACGATTTCTGGAGTGGAAATCGCAACGTCAAACAACAAAGTTTAAGGAACAAACAAGTTGCTTCCAAAAAGTTATTTGTGTGGATAAATAAGTCGTTCTTAAAAAAAACGAAACTTTTTTTAGTTCTTTCTTAAATAAAATATAAACAATATCGTGTAAAATTCACTCAAAATTCATTTCAACATATCGAAAATGTCGCAGCTGAACCTCTAACTAATATTTCACCTGATTGAAATATAAAGCTATATAATTTGAGATCATTTCTATAATTTACATTCTTCTTCCATTTCTTCCTGCTTGTATGTAGACTTTAAAGCCTTTTTTTCTTCAATATTAGCCTAATATATTGTTTAATTATCGCACTCACTTTTTCTTGTTCTGTAAATACTTCTTCGTCCATTTGGTGACTTATCTCGTGCTATTCGTACTACCTATCCTCTGCCATTCTATTAATGAGGTCATTCCACCCCTGTTTCTTTGGAGCTCGTCTTCTGTCTCGGCGATTAATGCGACGTCGTCTGCATAATTCAATATTTGGAATTCTTTTTTCCTCATTCTGTAACCATCACCTTTACGTATTTCTTGTATTATTTCGTTGATTATGATATATTAAAGAGAAGTGGGCTCAACGAGTCACCCTATCAGACTCCGCTTTCTACTGGTATACACTGTGTTAGTTTTCCAATATAATTTACGTGATTTCAATAAGATTATCGTGATTCCGGTTATTCTCTGTGACATTTCTCTTCGTTGTTTTTATTATAGGGTGTTTTCTTTTCTATTATAGCGTCGCGAAATTCTTAACAAGCATAATTATTCTGTACTATATTTCATATGTATTTTAAAAGAAAATTACAAAGATTCATTTATTATAGTAATCTAAATAGATTTAAACTAACACCTGCCATAACAATTTATAATGTAGAACAAACACGTAAAATTATAGGTAAGAAAAAGCAATAGACAATAAATTGATTACAATAGAAATTACAGAACATAGAAATACAAACATTTTAAAATGTTATTTGTAACAACATGTTATTTAAAATGTTACAAGAAATGTTAATAAAATGATGTAATTAATATATTCAAAATTTGATCCAATTCTCTAATAATTTATTCAATTTGTGTCAGATTTCTAATCTGATTTCTTAGATGAAGGTTCTTATATGTTATAGAGATGCTGACGAACTGAGTGACAATGAAGAACTCCTGTGTAGCAGAAGTATTTAACAATCGTTCAAATTCCAAGCAAAATATATTTCGCATTTTTTTCTTTTATATAAATATTTAGTAAAGCTTTGAACCCAAAATAGATACTAACTGATGTGGCAAAATGGAACTTACCAAGCTTAAAAACATGTTTGTTGAAGTATAGTTGAAGAGATTCCGAAGCAAAGTTTATGCAAAGTTGTTCAAAAGAGTTTTCATTGAGGTTTTCAAAACCAAAAATATCCAATAGAGATATTCTTGCAGCATCATGTAGGCCTCCCTTCTGAACTATGGAGTTAATACGAGTAACTAACCTAAAAACATACAAAATGTTATAAAAGGTATGTTATAATTTATTATTAAACTATTCTTTTAATCAAACTAGATGCTTAATTTCATCTCTTTATTGTCTTTGATGAAAAAACATAACTTTGATATACCACTCTCACTGGAACACCCTATATAATGTACAATATTTTTAAATCGTAGTGTTGATGGCCCTGTATATTGTAACGTTTTTATTTTTTAGTCATAACTGTATGTATGTAAAATTTGCTGCTGTATCATGATTTTCTACAACATCCGTAAATTGTTAATATTTTGTCGAAATACGCCATAGTTTCAAGTTTCCGCTTACGTATTCTAAATTAAAGTTTATTTAAAACTTATGTATAGGGGAATTTTCGCAAATAAAAAACATGAATTTCGCATTTACTTTTTTTATAATTACAAAATTTCGCATTTTTTAACTACGAGTAAAACAACAAAAAAACATTAATTAAAAGCTAACATCGTTGTAATTTCGACATTCGACTCTTTAAGAGCTGTTCTTCGATCTGTCACTACAATATTATATTTGTTGAAGAATCGTTCTCCGTCTACCCTGTCATTGGACTTCAGATGCTCTGTAATGCTGCTTTAGCAAATGACGGAAAACTGCACTGTGTAGCAAGCAAAATATCCTTCACATTGAGATATTCGCTTTTTCGTATCGATTGAAGGATTAATCTATGAAAGTGAGTATATCCATCTATGTACTCAATTGTGTCATTGTTCTAAAAAGCGGAATTTTAGAAAAGCTTTCTGAGAGTACACTCGGGTTCACAGTAAAACTTGCAGCTACACATGGGTTAAATAACTGTCCGATCTGTAAGAAACCCTCGTTTGTGTCTTTTAAAGTTCTTTTAAAGTCCTATGGAGAGTTAGTTTATTAAAGGCTTTTGTAGTTTGCTTTCAAGCATTTCTTTAGTGTAGCTTCAATTTCTTCGTTTTCAGTGAGCAACTGAGATGTTTTTACCATCAAAATAACCTTGGCGATGGTGTTAAACTGACTATTTAAAGTCCTCTAATTTGTTCCATGAAAGATAGGCGAATGCATAAGTGGCTCCTTCCAAATCGTCTATTAATTTCATTAATTTTGGACAGAACTTGGTGGTGAAGGTAATTTGAATTTCTAGTTTACGTCTGAAAGTTTCATCGGCGTAATTGTCTTTGAGAAATTTATTACTGGAATTTTCATTCTCCCACACATCAAAAAAATTAAGTATGTGATTAAGATATTCACTTAGATACGACACTGCTCAAAAACAAGAGTTCCATCTAGTTACAACTGGTGCTGGATATAGTTTTGTTGAGAGATTAAGCACGGTTTCTTTCAAATAATTCAAGTAAGAGTTCTTTATTTTTCTTGAAAGACACAAGGCTGACTTGACTTTTGCTGTAAACATTTTCAACTCCTTGCACTCTCCTACAAAAACATCACAACAAGATTAACTTTATGAGCCCAACACTGGTAATGTAAGATATGTAGGTCTATTAAAATTTTTAATAGGTTAAAGCAAGCAGACATGTATCTTGCTGAATCTGGTACCAGGCGTTTAACTTGTGAATAATCAATTTTCAGTAAAATCTTTCCATACCTTCGTAACTACCTACTTATTTAGGGGTGAGTTGACCACCAGCAGATATTTCCCGGAAATAAACAAAAACTCCATATTTCGCATTTATGTTCAAAATTTCGCCGAAATTCGCATCTATTTTGCCGTATAAGCAGTTTTGTATTATGAACACATACAACGTACTTTTTGTCTTAAATTATATTTTATTTGGTTTCAAGTAATTTGGTTAGAAGTAGAAATTATATACAAAACCAGGTTTGAGACAAAACTATTTTGGTGTCTGATGAGGGCACATGTTAACGCGTGTTTTATTTGTAATATAATGTTGACAACTCTTATAACGGTTTTATATTGTCCCTCTTTGTTTGATCGTGAAATCTTGTACATATATAAGTTTGAACTACAAAAGAAAAACTTTGCAAATTTACCTACAAGGAACCAAAATTCTAATAAGTTAATGAAATAATTTGTTCATTACACCTATTAATTCGTGACTATTAATAGACAATAATCTATCTAATTTCCTTACCAGTTAAACAATACCGAATACAAGGATTTCGCAAATGCATCTCTAGCATCCAACGCCTGATCAATTGTTAACGGCGAATACACTCTTTCAGCTCTCGCCTCTGTTATCCTCGATGTCAAGGCTCGTTGCAATCCCGAAGAAGAAATTTGCAAGAGATGAGCAGCCCACTTGATTTCGACTTCCGAGCCCACTTCCACGCCTTCCTGACCATGCCTGTAATAATAAATGATATGACAAACAATGCTATATGAATTTCGTATGTAATTGTTTGAATGCGCAATAAAATTTCAAAATTATCTATTTAATTTTAAATCAATGATTAAAAGAGTCACTTTCTTCCAACATAATGTAAACTACCTTTATTTTTTTATTTATTACCAGATTTTTCAAAATAAAAAGTACATATAATGAAAGGTTAAGTCATAAAAAAATATTTAGAAATGTATATACAGTAAGTGAAAAATTAATCAAATGGGCAGAGTATTTCGATGAATTATTAAACGAAAAAGGCCAAAAAGGAACAGAAATACAACAAGGAACACAAGAAAGAGAACAAAAACAAACACATGAACCAACACAAAAGAAGGTAGTAATAATAAGTAACAAGAGACTTAAAAAATAATAAAAGTGCAGGAAAAAGTGAAGTACCAGCAGAAATATTAAGAGTAGGAGGAGATATACTACAGCAAAAGATAGCTAGGTCTATTATATAAAAATTTGGAAAAACGAACAAATGCCAGAACAATGAAACAAATCACTCATTTGTTCAATTCACAAGAAAGGTGAAAAACTATTGTGAAAACTACAGAAGATTGCACTATTAGAAGTATTATATAAAGTACTAGCCACAATTATACAAAGTAGACTAAAAACTACGAAACAAAGATAATAGGAGAATACTAGGCTATTTTCAGATAGGGAAGAACAACAGCGATAACAGGTTTATGCTTAAGTTTATACAAAATAACAGTTATAAACAACACCTAGGTTGCATAATGCTCTTTATTGATTTTAATTAAACCTACGACTTCATCTTACGAAACGGACTATGCGAAGCAATGTGATCACTAGGAATATCAGAGAACCGGATACTTTTGTTAAAATGACGCTAATTAATACAGTAATAAAAGTCATGATAAAAGAAAGTCTTTCAAATCCGTTTAACGTCAATGGAGGATTAAAACAGTGAGATCCCCTGTCAACAGACTTATTTAACATAGTACTAGAAAAAATAATTAGAGGAGCCAAGATTCTTGCAAGCGGCACGATTTTTAACAAAAGACTACAAGAGTCTGAGAAGAGTTTGTGAAGTTGAGAAGGTAACAGAATTTGAGTATCTTACAGTCAGAGTTACTAATAGGGATGATGAAAAGAGAGAAATAGATAAGCGGTTGTTAAAAGGAAGAAAAGCAATAAGATTATTAAAGTCAGTGTTAAAGTCAAAAAAACGTGTTGAAGTCAGACAAGATTCGAACGCATGAAACAATAGTAAGACCAACAGTATTGTATGCTTGTGAATCTTTGACAATGAATCAAAAAGAAGAAAAAAGTGGAGATTTGGAAGAGAAAAATCTTAAGAAAAGTTTTTGGCGAGATTAAGGAGGCTAACGGGGAATGACGCAGAGGAACAAACCAGAAGCAAACAGATATTAATAAAGGACACAATATAACGTAGAAAATCAGAGCACAAATGGTTAGATTGTTATGACATTTTTTACGAATGTGAAAAGAAAGAAACTGATATCTGAAATATGACAATCTCTTTCAACATTTCCGTTAAATCTAAATGGCCTGAAGCCACATGTCTCCTGCCTTCGCCCATAATGTAGTCTCCTATACAATTATTTTAAACTGTGTGCCTTTTGTCGAATTTGTATGTGTATTTAAATCTTTATGGCATTCCTTAATGTGCTGGTTAGCCAATTTTTTAACAAAGTAAGGACGTTATATACTCATCAGCTTCTAGTTTTTTTCGAATTTTGCTACTTTTCTTTCACTTAAAAACCATTGTTTGGCTTATTTCAGATGCTTGGGCACGATTTAATAAAAAAAACTGAGCTCAATATCTGACTTTTATTTCTAAAAAAATATATTAGAGCCTATTTTTGCGAATGATACAAAATAATTGGAACTGGTAGATTGTGCCATGATTCAAAGGATGGTATTATTAAATTAAAGAATTTTACTTTCTTAATATTTTCATTTGTATAGAACAGATAATCTAAAGAGCATTGTACATGATTGGCACACCATACAAATTTATCTCTAAGTTGCAATAAAAAGAACTCAAATTTACGGTAACCGATATTTTATGAATAATTTTTAAATGACCAAATGTCTCGTAAACATGTGGTAGAAACATATTTGAATTGCCACCTATTGTGCGCAAGTAGTGTTCAGTCCTAACCGCAGCTGCACAGATCATATCCCATCCATAACACAAATTGAAGCAGTTTTTTAAAGACAGCCAAAAACGTCTGTTGCTTTCATTGACTTATCAGCTGCATACGATACTTTCTGGAGAGAAGGACTAATCTGCAAACTAATCCGTGCCATCCCTTGTCAAAAGGTAACTAAATTCATTGATAGCATGCTCACCAACAGGCCTTTTTAAGTCACAATGGGCAACTTTAAAAGTGTCCAAATGAAGCTCAGCAATGGACTGCCACGGGATCTGTTTTGGCACCCTTATTGTTTAATTTATACATCCCGGACTTGCCTGAGACAACTTAGCAAAAATTCAGCTACGCTGACGACTGGGTCATATCAGCAAGACATAATAACATGGATATTACAGAAACAATACTAACGGATGATACTGCGTTACGGGAGAATACTTTCGCAAATAAAGGCTACGGTCCAATGTAGCGAAAACCGAAGTGTTCTGTTTCCATCTGAGTAATACCGAAGTCAATAAAAAACTCTCCATTCACTTTGAAAACAGACTGCTCACTCATAACTTAACACCAAAATATCTTGAAGTGACTCTGGACTTAACATTTAATTTTAAAGAACATCTACAAATAACAATAGCAAAACTGAAAACGCGAAATAATATAGTCCAAAAGCTGTGTGGCACCACACGGGGATCCTTAGCCTCCGTACTAAGATCCTCCACCCTCGGTCTTTATATTCGGCGGCTAAATATGCTTCTCCGGTATGGCTTAATGGCAAACACATGAAGATGATTGACATCCAATTAAATCAGACAATGTAAATGATCTCAGTACAAATTAGACCCACACAGAACTATTGGCTTCCCATTCTGAGTCACATTCCACCGCCGAAACTGAGAATAAGTTAGTTCTAGATTAAGTTAGCACCGTGATAGGCTTAATATCAAAATAAACAAACTGCGCTTCAGATATCCTCCATTGTTAAAAGCCAACTCCTTACATCAGGAACATTTCAACCTCACTAACGCTTGGAGAAGACAATGGGAACGAAACAGACAACGAACGGAATAACAAAAAGCAGCGGTAGATGTGCTGACAGCTTTTATGGATGGGAAAAAGCCCTTACTCCTGAGTATGACTGTAGTACGCAACGACAGACCGTTCGTTGCATTGTTGAAGAATGCCCCCGAAGGCAATTCCCTGTAGTTTTCTATGAGTTCTTAAATGCGACCGAAAATGTTTTGTATTATATTAATAATACAATAAATGACAATTTGTAATTCTGAATGTAACATTGTATATTGATTTTTAATTATGTGTTCTTATTGTATGCCATACTATAAATCAATAAATAAATGTTGTTTTATCACATATGTTTAACTTAATAATATAAAATTGACATCAGTTAAACAAATACTTACCGTAATTGTCGCCTGTGAAAATATATATTTCCTAAATGTAGCACTGAAGCTAAAATTTTAATGACTATCTCTTGTTCTGCCTCTCCAATACCTAAAACTTGCATGGCCCTCGTAAGAGCATTCCAGTCGGCTCCAGATCCTGAATGACCTGGTCCACAATCGCCTCCACCTAGAATGGAAATTAAATAAATTAAAAACGAAAGCTTAACAATAAAAATATTGTGATTGATATGATGATACATATAATGAAGTTGAGAGACACATATCCTCATGTCTCAAAAATAAATAAATAATTTGTAACTGTTGTGATAAACCTATGTTATTATGCTTTCTATACGGTTACATCGCTTAGGGAAATTCAGTAATTAAATCAAATGTAATAAAGATCACAATACATTTACTTGAAGTCAAATAAAATGATTGATATTAATGTAATCATAGAAAAATTTGAAAACCTCAACACTGAACATAGTTAAGCCACAGTTTAGTCAACAGATGAAATTAAAAATCGTACCTAGCAATAGTACGATAGGATGAACACCGTAAGCATGTTCTCTAATATAAGAATACATATTCTATAGTCCTGCCTGTTTTTGTTTTCGCTTCCTGCAGTTGATAGTAAAAACTGATGCTGCCTATCTGTATGTTAAATTCTTCTCCAATACTTACACTGCACGTTGAAAATTTATCTCATTCACATCTACTGCCGGGTTGTTGAAAAGTCACTACAATTTTCGTGCTTTTTTTATGAGAAAGCCTTGCTATATCAAACTTTACCTTTTGTTCTTTTATTACCCATGTAACTTTCTTTTAATATTATATTTGGCATGACTCACAAGACATAGTCTGAGCTTACATCGGTTTCTCTAATAGTTCTAACGTCTGTCAGTTCATTTGTTCATATTCCGTCTTTTATTACATGATCAGTTTGGTTTCTTGTACCAGTTCCAGGTTCCAGGTCAATGTTATTTTATGTATATCTTTATTACTTAATATAATAGCAAAATTATTAACACCAGTAACAAGGTGATCTTGTAGTAAATTTCCTATTTTATTTGGAAATAAGCCACAGTATGATTAGAAGTTAAATGTATTTGACGTTTGGACTTACACTTCGAAAATCGTTATCAAAATATTCCGAAGTTGAAGTTAAAACGTCAAATAAATTTAATTTCTAACTAATAGGTATCCAGGCTTATTTCCAATTAAAATAGTAAACTTTCATAAGATGCCACAAAAAAAAACTTCAGAACAATATAAAGAAACAGTATTTTATAACAAACTAATTTCAGTACAACATAATTCAATTTTCGTTGTTTGTTGATAACTCTTCAGTAGCTAATTGAATTGTGTTGAAAATTTTACTTGTGTGTGAGTGTCCGAAATAGATCTACAGAAAGGAAACTGATTTGCCCTGACAAAAAGTTGATGATAATGAAGAATCGTGTGAATTTTATTAGAAGTGGTAATTTTCGTGCAATTGAAAATTTATTTCTATTAAATATTTGCGATCTTTGCGTAAAGTTATTCATAGAAATTTCATACGTAACAGGTGCCGAAGGTCAACTGACTGAAAAAATTTTTCGATCCATTCTGTGTTCCGACTTACAACTTCACCATTCACGCTCCCACTTCATCGCCAGTCGGAAGTTGGGTGTTTAAGACGCTCCTATAGATGTTTCGATTCGAAGATCCGATTTCAGATCCAAATGCGGAAGTTGGACCACTAGGCGGACTAAAAATCGGAACGTGAATAACCTGTTTGAGCAATACAAATAAAAGAAAATGCACAGAAGTGGGAATTGACTAAAAAAAAACCAACAACAAAACATTAAAAAACTAGGAATAGAAATAAAAATTAATTCATCAAATAAAAATAAAACATACAGATAAAAAGGTTATACTATAAAAATGAAACGATTTTAAGAAAACAAACGTTTTAGTTGTATACAGAGATTATGACCTGGCTACCTACATTAGTAAATAATATTGCATGGAAATTTTAACATATTTGTCATCGTGACCTTGAATGGTAAAGTTTAAATATTTGCATATATTATAATATTTACTGCTAGTTATCAGCTGTTACTGTATTAGTTAATAGTAAATTAAAAAATATATTTAAATTTGGATTTCTGGAACTTATATCAAGAGTCCTGGGAGTCGAAGTTTGAAACAAAAACATTGAAGCTATGAAAAGTGTTTCTTGTATGTACAACCTTAAAATTCTTCTTCTTATGGTGCCCTATTCAATGAGCGGATGTTGCCACAATTCTGGCATACTCCTCTCGATCTTGTGTGGCTCTAAAGAGTGCATGGACATCGAGGTTTTTCCAATCCCTTATGTTTTTAAGCCATGAGTATTTCTTTCTTCCGATGCCGCGTTTTCCTTCTATCTTTCCCTTCCCTAATAAGCTTTAAGAACTCGTACTTGGAATTTTGAAATATATGACCCAGATAAGCAGTTTTCTTCTTTTTATTATTGGCAGCAATTCTCGTTCTCTGACCATTCGATTTAATACTTCGACATTTGTTTTGTGATCTGTCCAGGGAATTTTAAGTAGTCTTCTAAATACCCACATTTCAAAGGCCTCTAATAGGCTAAAATCACATTGGCCTTTATGGTCCAGGTTTTCGCACCATATAGCAGTATGGAGTAAATGTAACATTTTACAAAGCGATATCAAAGCGTTAAGGCTGCTGTTGCTTAGCAAAGTTCTCAATATTAGTAAATGCTGTTCTGGCTTGCTCAATCCTGGTACGTATCTCTATATCTGGATCTAGATCTACAGTTATTCAACTACCGAGATATCTGAACCTGGGGACCTTTTGGATGTTCTTATTTTTACTCTTATATCTAATTGCATATTTTGTGTTCTACTAACCACCATTACCTTCGTCTTGTTTATAATTAATCTTCACATCCCATCTTTCTCCTTCGGTGTTTATTCTATCTATTAGCCGTTGTAGCGCTTCTTGGCTATAAGCTATATGACTGTAGTATCAGCAAATAATATCTGTCCATATTTGATTCCATCTCAGGTCACTAAGCATAATCGAAAATCGATTTCAGAGTAAAGATTAAAAAGGAGGGTGCCAGAATACAACCCTCCGTACACCATTTCGATTGAGAAATATGATGTCGATCCAGTCCTACTCTCACAGATGCCACTTGATTCATATAAAGGTTCTTTATGATTTTAAGGTCATTCTCATCTATCGAACGTTCCTGGAGCAATCTTACAAAGTAATTCTGAATGATTAACACAATCTCAACATTAGTCACCTGAAATTCTTAATTCCAGCTGTTAAGAGTCGTAATCATTTAACAGATGACATAAAAGATCAAGATAAAAAGAGCTGTGCGACAGGAATGTATACTGTCCACATTAGTATTTAATATATATTCAGAGCACAATTATAAAACTAGTACTAACTGAATAAGATAAGAGATACTTATAAATGAGAACGATTGAACAACTTAAGATACACTGACGCCATTCTCATTTTGCACGCAGACCTGGAAGGAGGGTATAAACACCGCCCTCAGAATTTTCATCTAAAAATAAGTACAGTCAGTCATCCAAATACGTAAGTAAGTCATTCGTCAATTTGACAAACAAAATAGCCAAAAATAGCTATTGATTACAATAACAACTGTCTAATTTAAAACAATCTTCTTCGATAGCATTAGCGTCCACACCTTACAGAGTGGAAATTAAAATGTCAAAAAAATTATAAAAAATAGTAATTTTTCATTATAATTAATTGTGGCTTAACCCCATATAAACGTTATATTTATCTTGGACATGTAAAGAAACAGTTTCGAAGTAGAAGGTTCATACCTTAACTTACCTTGGTTTAGGTAGAAATATTTGTCAGCATCTATAAGCCCATATTTTTGTTTTTCAGAAGAACTAAGTGCTCCTAATAACTCATAGAAAACATGATAATTTCTCTCTCCTGGAGCTTGCGTAACTATCCTAGACTTTTCTAATAAATATTCTGTTACTTTGGCACCTATAATCGATCCATGTTTAAAGTAAACCTCCAAATATTTTCCAAATCTGGAGCTGTTGTCGTTTTTGGCAGTTCTGGCATTTCCGAAAGCTTCAAGAAGAGGTGTAGCTTCCAGAATTTGTTCAGTAACCAGTGCTTGATTTCTCGGTGCTGAAGGAGCTACTGCAGCTAAGTATTGCATTACCAGTTTTGTGGATTCAGTTTTACCAGATCCGCTCTCTCCACTTATGACCACCACCTAAAAGAAACACAGGTAAAAAGTATTTAAGGTATCTAAATGTAAATGTATATCAAATTCACAAGGAATCTACGTCCTGTAGTTGGTTGTATACCATATATTAAAAAAAATATTAAAAATCCTTTATAAAAGGTATATATTTAAAAACCCAATTGGGCTATATTACACAAAACGTTTTCGGAATCCATATTCCATCATCAGTGCTAGGTATACATGAATGTAGCTACTAAATATGTGTTACGGTTAAATTTGGTAACATGGCGACATATGACTCCTATAACTATATCGTCAGCGAATGCGAGAATTTGCGATGATCTATTAGAAATAGTTCTATTCATTCTAATATTTAATTGTCTGATTACCTTTTCCATGGCAATATTAAAGAGCAGACACGCCAGTGCGTTTTCTTGTCTTAGATCATTATAAAGGTCAAAGAACGAAGAGTTTTCTCCTTCAGTTCTAACGCATGAACTTACGTTTTGCACTGTTAGTTGGGTCAACTTAATAACTTAGGTGGGATCCCAAGGTCTATCATTGCATTATACATATAATGCAGTTTTTTTTTTCATACTGTTATAGGCTGCTTTGAAGTCGACGAAAAGATGGATTGTGTCACGTATTTGCATTTACAAACAAACTTTAATTAACCTCTTACAGAAAAATTAACATTAAAAATTGATTGGCCCAAGAAGATACATTACTTGCAGATGACACCTTTCTTTGCCTCATTTCTCCTTTATCAGAATATCATGGGATATCAGGAGACAAGACAGTTCAAGACAGATACCTTTTTTAAAAGTGGAATTGTAGCATTTAGTCCTAATGTTATTATAATTACTCTGTACGAGATCATTTTTATGTTGAATAAATAATCAAGACTTGAGATAATGCAGATGATACTACTATCCTCGCTATTCTGAAACTGAATTGATTCACCTGCTACAACGGATAGAAGACGTAACCTTATCGATGGCCTTAAAATAAACAGGGATAAAACGAGAATCATGATAATTGACAGAGCTAACAACAATCAAAATCATCTGGTTAGGAATAAACAATATCGCTGTTGTAGATAAATTTGTGTATCTGGCTCATTAATAACCAACAAAGAGGCTGTACTGAAGAAATAAAGCGGCGGTCAGCAATCGCAAAAAAGCGCTATGGCAAAATTAACAAAAATTTGGAAAAGCCATGAAATTACTACCGATACAAAAATGAGACTATGTAAGAAGTCTAGATTTTTTCCAGTTTTTACTTATGCATACGGAATGCTGGAACCCTTACTGAGAAAGACAAAAAGAACATAGATGTATTGAGATGTACTGCTGGAGACGAAATGCTGAGAATACCATGGGTGGCCCGAAGAACAAATGAATCCATACTGGTCCAGCTAAAATAAAGAAAAGACTAAGAACACAAATAACAGAACAGATTAAAAAGCTATTTTGGACATGTGCTTCGAAGAAATGGTCTTGAAAAACTTACCATCCAGGGAAAAGTAGAAGGCAAAAGAAGTAGAGGTAGATCTCCTACACGATACACGGACCATATTGTTGCTACCATTGGCGCTCCATTGTCAGAATGTGCTAGATTGGCAGAAGATAGAAAACGTGAGGAACATTGGAAAAATTACCTAACAGCTTCATGATATCACGATACCTGCATCAGGTTAACGACTAAGAAGAAGAAGAAATAATCAAGCTACTGTGTTGTCAAATACTAAAAAATGCGGGCTACTATCACTATTTATATCATAAAAGGAGCATCAGAAGTTTTTGTAAAATAAATATAGGATTTCTTACTTACTTGAGGTACAGGCAAGGCCGAGTATGCAGCAGATCCTAGTGCAAATATATGTGGTGGTAAATCTCCAATCATTCTACCTCTATAGCTTTGTGCGGTCTCCAAGCCATAACTTCCATCGAAGTTTCGATATGGATTAACTGCTATTAAAATCGAACCTGCGTATGTATAAATAAGATCGTGGTCGTAACGTAGTTTGAGATTCCATAAGAGAGCTGCTTCGTGAAGGTCTGATAGCTGGATCATATCTTCAACACCTTTAACGCCCAGGTCTTGGCGTCGCCTAACCTGCCCTTCTCCTTCTGCCAGGGCGAAGTTTTGTGGCTAGAAAGAGATGCAATGTCAGAACAATTTACTTTACAATTCATCCGTTATCAACAAAGAGTGTGAAGAGACTATCTATAATTGATTATGTGAACGAACATTTAACACTTTTATAAAGTATTTTCAGCGTACCAGTTTAGCTTTTAAAATTTCTTGTTGATAACAGAATAAGATAGTTCATTTTATAAAATGTATTTTAAAAACTGTTTCCAATCTGGAAATATAAACACCAATAATCATATGTGTATTGTGCAATTTGTACAATATAGGCAACATAAGTATGTATCAGACTTCTAAAATAATTGTCTAGAAAAAGTATGATAAATTCAAGGTGGCTAGACGACACATGTGGCAATCATTTGAACTAAATTTATAAGGTCGACAATTCGAATTAGAAGCTTGCCAGACATAATTTTAAACGTAACAGTATAAAATCAATATAGTTCATTTGCTTTAAATCGTAAGATCAATAGTGAAATCGAGAAGGCCAATGTATGAGAAATCGAGTCTCTCCTCGCGATGGATGCCCATTCTCCGAGGTATTAGTTATGAATAAGATCAAGAATATGAAGAACGTAAGCAAAACCAAAAATATAAAAAAAAATTAAATGAAAAAATCAAAACACCAATAGGATAATAATCAATTATTAATAAAAAAAATATAAATACACAATTTTTACTTCTGAGAGACATAATAAGGTCAAGATAAAGGACTTCAACCAAAGATAGAAAAAATAACGCAAATAAATCAAGACGTATCTGGAAAGGAAACAATCTACACCGGCAGCAATAAACACATAAATAATGAGTACTTCAAATACAAAACGAATATATTAAAGTAACATTAGTATTACAGGGATCAACTTCTTGTTCAGGTTCCGTTCCTTTGGAGATTGGAAATCATTCTGTCAATTGAAACTGCATCCAAACCATTCACGAAGATTGCGTAGCCTCGAGATTTTACATCTTCCTGCGCTTCTTTTGCTTTTGATTTTACGCTGCATTATATTCTTTAGTAGTTCGTATTCTTCATCTCTCATGATCTATTTCTTGTCATTCGGCTTATATGATCGTTTGTTTCATTCTGCTCTTATATTTCTTACCCAGTTCTTGATGTTCTCCACCTTGCAACTACGTCGTATATCTGGACTTCTAGCTCTATCTCTTAGTGTATTACCATTAATTTTTATTATTGTTTTCATCTCTGCTGTTCCTAACATCCTTTTTGTCCTCTCTGTGTCAGGTCGTGTTTCTGCCGCGTGTGCCATTTTTGGTCTGACGACTGTTTTGTAAATTCTGGCTTTGATTTCTTTGTCGATATTTTTATTTCTCCATATTGTTTTATTCAGGCAACCTGCGGCTCTGTTTGCTCTGTTCGCTTGATCTTACACTTCAGTTTCGAATTTTCCGTAGCTAGATATTGTGATGCCTCGATATTTGGACTCCATCACTTGTTCTATTATCTGACCTTCCAGCTCCAATTTACACCTTAGGAAATTTGCTGTTATAACCGCACATTTTGTCTTTTTTGGGGATATTAACAGGTAAAATTTTCTGGCGGTTGTATTAAATTGGTGCAGCTTACTTTGTAAATTATCTCCACTTTGAAAAAGTAGTATTGTGTCGTCTGCATAGCAGATTATTTTAAGTTGTTTTTCTGCCATTTGGTATCCTTTTTTACTTTTTTATTATTTCATCCATAATCAGATTAAACAAGAGAGGACTCCAGGAATCAATAGGGTCTGTTAGTTCTTTTTTTTACGTTTACTTTTATTTTGTATTTTGGTAGATATTCTAGATCGTTTTGATTATTCCTTAAGGTATGTCTCTTGCGTACAATAAGGAAATAACGTCCTTTAATTTGACCCGGTCAAATACCTTCTTAATGTTCACAAAACAAAAATTGTCGAATAGAAAAATTCAAAATATGGGTAATAAAGAAAAAAAGAGTTTGGTATATGGGGCAACGAGAGAAACAATATATCAAGAAGCAGTTATTAGAAAATTACCAAATAAAGATTAAACATAGCAAGACCAAAATGAGATGAGAGATTCATATAGCTGAGACAACTGAATAGCTTAGACTTAGAGGTTGAAAATCCATAATGCCGAGACAGGATATAATAAAAGAAGATTGTAAAGGACGCAAAGGCACACAAGCAATTAGATAACCAAAAAAGATTAATGCGGACTGGTCTCTGGCAAGAAATGAATCAGAGAATTCAAAATGGTGTCAACACTATCTTCGATTAAATGAAATAAAGATAAAGCTAAAAGCTGCGAAGAATTCCGCAAAGAGGGAAGAAAATATAAATAATTTACACTATTTTAGCTTATCCCTTATATTTTATAGATAGGTTACGAGTAACTGGTATTTTTTGAAGAGGAACAATATGAGGAACATGTGTACTAAGCTTTCTTCTTTCTAATTTGTGATAACTACATAGGAATCACCCTCCTAATTGAGCAAGTCCAAATTCAATAAAGTTCACTAATATAAATATTGATGGCTGTAAGCAAAAAAATCCCAAAATAAGTTTTAAATATGTGAGAGAGAACTTCTAATTCCTGATCACTTTATCCTTCATCTGTTTGTGACCTAAAACTAAGTCACAGTTATGCAGATTTCACCCGATTCCCCAGATTTAGTATCCAGCGACTTTTACTTGTTTCCAAAAATCAAACCATGTTTAAAATAAACCTAGTACGAGTCATTAGTCTATCGCAAGATACCGTATCGTTGCTTCGCACACTGGAAGGTTGTTAGTAGGTTGATGTTAATTATAAAAAATTGATAAATAAAGATATTATACCAACAGTCTCCGAAATTAATTGCCAGACCCCATATTTATATCATTTTACAAGCTCTCTTTTGTTTATAAACGTATATTCTTAACCTAATACTTACCTTTCCACTGATGATTGCTTGAACAGTGAGAACATTGGCACTCTTGTGACACTCGAGTACTTCTCCAGGTAGCCAGTGGCCGACCCCCGGGTCGAACCAAATTAAATCTCCTGTATTCCAGTCCATTTCGAAAATGGTTTTCACGGTTCGTAAATCATATTTCTATTTTCTGCAACAAAAATTACAACAATTAATATTAAACTCTTGTCAATCAATATCTAGATAAAATTGGGTAAATACAAATTTACAAATCAAGTGAAAGATGTATAGGAAGTCTCTGAAAAATATGGAGCTATGTTTGGTACTAGAACAGGCAAAAATGTCTAAAATCCTAAAAAGAAGACCCTGCAATATCCGTACAGCTGCACAAACAGTCACAAATAAATGACACACTTGACACAGCCTCGAAGCTTTAATCGATAATTATGAATATTTCTCCAATTGTTCTTTTAATTTATGGTATTAATTTTAACTATTTAAGTTAATCTAATAAACATAATAAATATACCTGCAATATCAATACAGCTGCTAAGACAACTATCAGGAATGACACAATTCAAATCCTAAACACTAAGTAATCAAAAAGTTATCAATATTTCACTAATTGTTCTTTTAATTTAGTTATTTTATCTATTTCTTCATCAAAATTATTATTTTCCTTATTGGTTCCGACAAAATTTAATTTCTTTTCGATTAGAATAATGTTATGTCATTAATGCACTCATTTAATAGCTGAACAGTATTAGAAACCTTATAATTGTACTAACGGAATACATATTTAAAACACAAATGAAATCACGGTAATTCCGATTTCCGGTAAAATTTCATTTTCTTTTTTGCCCAATGAAATCTAAGACGGCTCTCGTGTTAACCACTCGACCGAGTAACTGTTTTGCAGATAATAGCATGCCAATTAAAAATATATGCACGCCTATCAACAACGGTATGAAATGTGGATTTTAAACCATTTACGAAGAAATCTCTATGTTTGATGACATAAGTGATAAGTGACGTAGTAAAAGTGTACCGAAAACTAATAGGATATGCCGTCATTCATATATTTATATGCCATTTATTTTGTGCCGTTATTCTTGCCTTATTTCTTGCTACTCCCCTTTTATTCAATATTTGAGTTATTTCTTTATTCCAAGTTACTTTAGGCATTCTTTCCTTTCTTGTTCGTTTTACTTCCCATATTTTTAGTTTATCTTTGGGTTTCCATCATCACCAAATGTCCCCATCGGCTCATTTGTCTCTTCTCGATCTATTTTAAAGATCGATTGTACTTCAAGATGTTCTCTAATTTGGAAACTATTTAACCGATCTCTTTTTTTTTCACCTCAAACTTTGATTATATACTATATTATTTTACTATATTATATATACTATATATACTGCGTTAATTAAAATGAAAAACGGGCGATCTCCAGGATCTGGCAATATAGCTGTAGAGTTATTTAAAGCAGGAGGTCCACTCCCAATAGAACGAATAACTTTTCTAACGAATTAATGCTGGAAACAAGTTATTGTACCATCTGAATAGAAAACCTCTCTCCAAGTGTTCATCTTTAAAAAGGGTAATCGACAAAATCCCTACTACTACAGAGGATTAAGTGTCCTACCTACTTTCGGGAGATTGTTTGGAAGGATAATAAATGAAAAAATACAAGATGCTGTATTACATCTAATTATCTAAGACCAAAGTGGATTTACGCCTGGTAGATCTTGCACTGATATAACAACCTTAAACATAAAAAACTGGAGGAAAAAAGCACGAAACAGATTAGAATGGAGAAGAATCCTGGAACAGGCCAAGACCCAAAAGGGTTGTCGAGCCAGTGATGTTGATGATCTTGCACTGATTACTTGTTTTTTATACTCCAACAATTAATAGAAAAAAGAATAGAGGTTGATACCGACTCTAGCATTCATCGACCTAGAAAAGGCGTATGATACAGTTCGAAGACTTAAATTGTGGCAAGCTTTACAAAAACTCGGCATTAGTCCATACCTTTTAGGAATAATCACAGAAGTATACAGGAATAAACACTACTTACCTAAAAAATGGAAATAGACTATCAGAGCCAATAAAAATAAACTAAAGAACTAAGACAAGGATGCAGTATGTCACCCTTACTGTTTAATTTATATATTGAGGCAGCCCTACAGAATTGGAGAAACCATTGTCAGAGAGTGGACATCCCCATAGGAAATGACGTGCTGTTCTCCCTGAACTCTGCGGATGACACAATCGTCCTAGCTCGAGATTCTTATGATCTAGAATTAATGGTAAAGCGTCTATACAGAGAATATGTAAAATGGGGGTTACAAGTCAGCATGAAAAAACAGAATATTTAGTTACCAATTCAGATGCAAGGTTTGAAGTGTTGATAGAGGAGGACGTGGAAATCAAACAAGTGGAAAAAATTTAAATATTTAGGGTGCATTGATAAGAACGGCTTGGGAGAAACCGAAATTAAACATCAAATTATTCAGGGATGTAAAAATTGTAGAATGTCTGAACTCCTTATGGTGGAATCGCAACATATCCAGAAATAAACAATAAAAGAATAGGGCAAACCATGCTTGAATCCGGTCTTATTATGGCTCTGAAGTATGGACAAATAATGCCGACCTGAGAGAAGATTGTGGCAGTTAAAAAGGAGTATTTGAGAAGAAGTGCTAGAGAACATCAAGGAAGACCAATTAAATCTATAAGAAACAACATGAATGCTACAGAAACGGTCATTTGCAGAATAGAAAAAAGAGGTTTAAAATGGTTTTGACACTAAATCATACAAATGAATATCCATAAAGTACCATGCACTATCGCCTAATGCCCACTTGGGTTACAGGAAATGAAAAATGAATTAGCATTACACCAATGATCAAAAAACACCCACGTAGTATCTCCTTAATATTGGAAGTAAGAGACGCAATGACACGCCTCAAAAATCACAAGCTCTCGGGAGCGGATTGTATTATTGTAGAGCTCATCAAAGATGGAGGTAACAGCATTATGCACCAAATTCACAGCATAAATAGTCAAAGTCTGAAGAAGAACAGATACCAGAGTAATAGTGCACTGCAATATCTCTTTTAGCGACATTGTTCTCCTTACTAACTAAATGTGTATGTCCTACTGAGAAGATGTCGCACCTAGACGAAACAATAAAAACAATGAATAGCAGTAAGGTATATTTGAAGTTAGTGAGTTTGTCTCTTAGAGGACGTAAGAGAATAACAAGATAGTTAAGATAGGCAAGGCAGGTAAAAAAAGATGATAGCTGCACGCAAACATCATTATTATGCTAATTTGAATATTGTCATCCTATTGAACTAACACCATGCTAATCGATTTATTAATTAAATACGGCTCAATAACTTATACCTATACGGCAATGCCTCTCTACAATAAGTTGCTAACATCAGTTTATCCTCTCTCTCATCTAGTAACTACTTCCACTCTACTAAGTTCATATCTACCCAACCACTTTAACATAATCTCTCTCAAACACCGAACATGTTCCCAAAAAATGTATTATCTTCCATTTTTTTCGTGTTACACATTGAGCAAAAACCTTCTTTCAGCATTTCTGCCAGGTTGATTATTCAAATATAGAACTCCACATCTTAATTTAAACAGCCATCGAATGTCCCCAAATTTTTCATCATTAGGAGATATTGTATGTTTTACTCCTTCTTCCCGCAGTTTGTATGTCCACAAAAATTTCATTGGAGCTCCCTCATTCTCAGTTTGGACACTGTATCTAATACTTCTTTTTTCTTATCATACTCTTAATCATACTATGCCTATCTATTTCTCACATTCCCACTCACAACTTACCTTATTTACCAAATTTTCTCCTATGCTCATCGAATCGTTCACACAGCCACACCTTACTCTGATCATTTCTTCACACAAGAAATTTTGGCAACCTATCATTTCGAATATTTTAGAATTTTTTTAACATACTTATTATGAAAATTCATTGTAAATAGGCTATGACTCTACCAATACCTGTCTCCAAATCTAACATAAAGTTAGGACAATACCTTGAACAAGAAAACTTTTTTATATATAGAATTTTTTGATTTGTTCCAACTATTTCGTACTCAAAGAACCACATACGTATGACCCATAAGTCAAAATTGATCTTACGACCGAACTCATACACTTTTACTTTAGCCAAAAAGGGTATATCAGCCTTAGATACTAAACTACTCCAAGCCGAGTGAATCACCGCTTTGCCAAACTCTGGCGCTTTTTTAGAAGTGCTTTAATCGACAACATGGGTGTTACTATCATTCCCAAATACTTATAGCTATAAGTATTTGGGAATGTTTAGCTGGGTAGTTTGGAATAGAAAATATAGCTTATTTTTCTGCATGTGGAACAAAGTTCTTTATAATTGACTTATTCCAATATTTTTAAAACTGAAAAAATTGTACAAAAACTAAAATATTTCAAGGTAACAGGGAAACCCTTCCAGTGTCAATTATTGAGAGCCTAAATTGCCTTTTTTTTAATAATAAATAAAAACGTTTTATCTGCAAATGATTGGTTTTGGGTTTCTTTAGAAACACAGAAATTGTAATTAATTACCGTTTCAGAGGTTTACCGAAACCAGGTAGATACGTTCATGGTTATTAATAACATTTAGCAGCAAGACAAAAGCCATTTGTTACAACAAGAATCCTGTTTTCAATGAATCTCAAGGTCAGTTTTGCATTCCATCCAACTAATATTTTTATTTCACTACAATCGATGAATGACTAATCATTCAATTGACTCCCTAATGGTGTAACATTGTAATAACGTGCATGAAATATTATTTAATAGGCGAGAAAATAAACACTGCATTCAAACCAATTTATCACGTGTTTCTAGTGAAAGCATATTAGTTTCTACTGACTATTGGTAGTGGATAAAAATATGGTATCATCTTCTTTCACTTTTCATGGTGTTATATTCCAGATGTTGTATGTAATTGTATAATCGACTAAAGGAGAAACAATTTTATAATACTAAGTAATATTGCTAATAAAAAGAATATTGTTTATTATAATTAATACAATTTTCAATAACAAAATAAAATATAGTGTAACAGATAAAATACAGGGGGCGTTTTTCCAGTAGAACACTGCAAAGTTTTAGATTTACAAGGAGATCTACCACTTTGCAGTGCCAAGTACAATTTTGGCTACCAAGTTTACTATTATGTTTTCATGATTTTTATGGCGTG